ACTAGTCTCGTCTATTGTCCTCTTTGGACGGTTGCCAGAAGTATTACCAGTAATTGCATTGTCAGTCTGCCTATCTGGCTTCTGCATGCTAGGGGCCATCCAAGAAGTTCCCCATTTGTTGTGTCCCTTTTGAACAATTTCAAATGTCCATAAAGGATTGTGAATGCAGTTGGTATTTGTTTAAGAAATCATCACTCATTCTGACTTTCCATTTATGCTGTTACTTTGTTTCATGTTATTTTTTGTGTTATTTCTATACAGGCTATATCTCCAAGTGCATTGCCGCAGATATTCAAAAATGCATTGACTGTTCCCATACTTCTTGACATTATCAAGTGTGTGGCAACCTTTTTTGTGAAAGTAATGTTTATGTCTAATATGTATGTTTTCTTGTTGAGCTTGATAAAATGCTTATGGCCTCACCTTTGATTTATTTCTTTGGCAGTGAAGAAATGGATTTGGCCGTCAATTATTTGGACAACTTAACCAGGGTTCCAAGATTTGACACACTCATCATGTTTCTTTCATCCTCAGACAACGATGCTATGCATGCTTCTGTTTTAAATTCCTTGAGATTTTCAAAAGCTTACGGTTGAATTCCTGGATTTCAAATGTTTTTTTAAAGTAGTGACAGGACCCGTCCCCGAATTTCCCGGAACCCGAGACGAACCCTGCGGAGACCCCGGCATCACACCCACGCCGGGTTCACTCCTTAAAACTATGTCCTCTTTTACCAGAGAGGATTTAGGGCACGAGACTTTCTGCCAAAATTTCGGCAGAGTCTCCCCTGTAAATTGAACATTCCCCAAAATTTCCACCTGCATAAAACACATTTTATAACCCAACCAGCAGCACGCACAATATAATCTCATGCAATTTACATAAATGGCCTCCGGCCTTCAAATGATTCTAGCAGAACTGCTCACACTGCTTTTAAAATAACTCCATGCATCAAACATGCATATAACAAATTCAAAATCTATCTATGCACACCTTCACTCACTCAGTCCACCGGACAAGCCTCAATTCAACCAAGTTTCGGGACCAACCACGAGGTCCGCATCATACTCGATAAAACCACCTAAGTGGTGTCTAGGTCGTGGCTGCACCTAGGCGCTATCCCAGGCTGCCTACGTACCCTACTAAGGGATCAAGCCACACGTAGCTCTTTCCTATCAATCCTGGCTCCTGATATCAATTAAACCATTACATCCATATAAATTCATACATTCTCGGGTTTATCCATCACAACACACCAAACATAATCACATAGCTCCCCTCATACGACGGGACGCACCCGGCCTCGTATGGGGTCTGTCTACACGCCGGCTAATCCAAAGACGCGTGCGACCTCAACCCTGGGCCTGGCTACATTCTCACCAGCCCTCACACAATCATATCTCCCCTCATACGTCGGGACGCACCCGGCCACGTATGGGGTCTGTCAACACGCCGGCTAATCCAAAGACGCGTGCGACCTCACACTGGGCCTGGCTACATTCTCACCAGCCCTCACACAATCATATCTCCCCTCATACGTCGGGACGCACCCGGCCACGTATGGGGTCTGTCAACACGCCGGCTAATCCAAAGACGCGTGCGACCTCACACTGGGCCTGGCTACATTCTCACCAGCCCTCACACATCATATCTCCCACTCATACGTCGGGACGCACCCGGCCACGTATGGGGTCTGTCAACACCCGGCTAATCCAAAGACGCGTGGACCTCACACACTGGGCCTGGCTACATTCTCACCAGCCCTCACACAATCATATCTCCCCTCATACGTCGGGACCACCCGGCCACGTATGGGGTCTGTCAACACGCCGGCTAATCCAAAGACGCGTGCGCCTCACACTGGTGCCTGTCTATTATTCCACCAGCCCTCACACAATCACTCTCCCCTCATACGTCGGGACGCACCCGGCCACGTAGGGGTCCCTTGCAACACGCCGGCTACTCCAAAGACGCGGGTCGACCTCACCTGGGCCTGCTACATTCTCACCACCATCACACAATCATATCTCCCCTCATACGTCGGGACGCACCCGGCCCGTATGGGGGTCGTCAACACGCCGCTAATCCAAAGACGCGTGCGACCTCACACTGGGCCTGGCTACATTCTCACCAGCCCTCACACAATCACATCTCCCCTCATACGTCGGGACGCACCCGGCCACGTATGGGGTCTGTCAACACGCCGGCTAATCCAAAGACGCGTGCGACCTCACACTGGGCCTGGCTACATTCTCACCAGCCATCACACAATCATATCTCCCCTCATACGTCGGGACGCACCCGGCCACGTATGGGGTCTGTCAACACGCCGGCTAATCCAAAGACGCGTGCGACCTCACACTGGGCCTGGCTACATTCTCACCAGCCCTCACACAATCACATCTCCCCTCATACGTCGGGACGCACCCGGCCACGTATGGGGTCTGTCAACACGCCGGCTAATCCAAAGACGCGTGCGACCTCACACTGGGCCTGGCTACATTCTCACCAGCCCTCACACTGTCACTTGGGCCTGGCTACATTCTCACCAGCCATCTTACTGTCACTTGGGCCTGGCTACATTCTCACCAGCCATCTTACTGTCACTTGGGCCTGGCTACATTCTCACCAGCCATCATACTATCACTTGGGCCTGAACATAATCACAATATGAGGGGTACGTGGGGTAGTGCGTATAGCACTGTAAACTAATATTCACTCTCCTTATATATCATTATACATCCACAGAATCAATTAAATATATCATATAATTTCTAATCATACAATAACATCAACCAATAACACATTCCATAAACTCCCACATTTAAATTCACCAATTTATATCCTAAACCCACAATATCCAAATTGAGATCCGCAAAATCTTACGCGCTTGTGATAACCAGGAGATCATTTTAGAACCTCAAGCCGGTCCATTTTCCTAGCCCACGCGCCGGCAGCGGGTGGGTGCCTTGAGTAATTTCCGGCGGCCGGAAAAACTCCAAACCGCCGGCCAAGCTTCCTATCCTAGATGTAAAACCCTATTCTGAGCCACTTTTGTTCTTGGGCATACCCCAAAATCTGACCGGAAGTGGCCGGAATCTCCCCTCGAAATCCGGCCGAAATCCAATTCGAAGATCAGACCTCCTACGCTCAAAATCGATACAATCCTACCCAACATCAGCTAGATCACGGAAAATAGGTGAGAAATCATACCTTGATCGCAAGATTTGGTGGCCGGAATCGCCGGAACGAGCTCCGGAAAATTTGGGTAAAAACCGGCCGTTTTTCTGCAATTTCCGGCGGTATCGCTGCCGGCTGACATCGGAGAATGGGTGGGGTAGGACGGCGGAGTCAGGCCGGTCATTTTGGGACCGGTCCCGACCCGAGTGGTGGCCGGATGAATGAACGGCCGGCCAAAACGTGGCCGGCTGTGGTGGCGGTCGCGAACCAGAGGAGAGAGAGAGGGACGCGCGGGAGAGAGAGAGTGAGTGAGAGACGGGGGCAATTCCGTCTTTTAACCAAAAATCCATTTTCCAAATATTTACGATTATGCCACTGAGCTTCTTTTGATCATATCTCTCTCGTTACAACTCCGATTCGAGCCCACTACGTGTCTATGAACTCATCTCACCGTGCTCTACGCAACGGTACAACCGGAATTCCCAAAGTCCTTCCGAATAAGAAAATGACTAAAATACCCCTATCCCACGGGTAATTTCTCAATTCCACTTAAATAAATTAAAACATGGGATAAATTTGGGGTCGGGGTGTTACAAGTAGAGTATACCTATATCAATGTGGTACATCAGTCTCAGCGACTGGTAATGCTTGCACTGTGTCTTGATTGAATCGTTCCATATTTTCTGATTTGTTAGTCATCCTGCCCATTTTTATAGGGTTTATGATTCATATTTTCCATTAGTTTCATATCCTATACTAACCCAATAACCTTGCAAACAGATGTTGTTAAGATATGGGATGAAGTGTTGGACAATGAGGCAACTCCGATTGAGTATGCCGAGAAGCTTGATAACCTGCATACAAAGTACTGCCCCAAGCGATGACAAAGCTCAACAAGTTTCTACTTTACCCTCCTCCGCCTCTTGTACTGTAAATTCAAGTTGTAAATTTTTGAAATGCTCCAACGACCCCTTTGAATATGAATTTTGTCGTGGATAACTATTCTATCCAATTATCGAGATGTTAAAAGTACATTGCAACTTTTACTTCACTCCTGTTGGACTTGAATACTTGGAACTTGGAACTGTTGGTAAGAATGTGCTTGTGAGCGTCCATGTTTTGGTCGGGTGGACATAGCCTACTCTTGTTCAGTCATATTCGTTGAGGTCCAGAGGTTATGGTGGCGATAACCTTTTTCTTCATGCCCTGCCTTTCATTTGCTACCTTATTTTTCAGACAACATATGTATATCTTTGCATACTGAGTTGTTTCAAGTCGCAATCAATCAATGTTATGTGGGGGCTCTTCCAGATTTTGCGCTATGCTTTTCACATGGAGATCATGTGTCATTTACAATCACCTGACTCTTTCATGTTAACAACACTATATTATGCATCAAAAATAAAAACCCTACTGTATAATACAGAAAATAACCCTACATGCAAGTAGATGCATTGTAATCTTAGAGATCAGAGATCATGTTCTGTGAACTCACCCAAATAATGCAAAAACATAACCAAAATACTGATTGGCTAGGCATATATTATGTGCTGCACGCGAAAGGTTTCTCTTCGAAGCAAAAACGGTTGGAGATAGGAGGTTGAACAGAGTTTGTATGGCCACGTAACTAGCAAAAAGTAAAGACTTCTCTTCTGGGATGGATGAGCAACTAGCTAAGGAGGCAATAAAAGCAGGTAGACCATTGATCTTGCGTTAATAGTCATGTATATGTTTTGCGACGTACATTTTACAGTGCAGAATGGTTTTCAGATAATTTTTCTGTTTCTTTTAAGTTACAAGTATTAAACGGGAAAATGCTAAATTCTTTATATGGGTAACTGTGTGGAAAAGTAAAAAATCAAAATGGGACAATGGAGACTCGGGTAATGAGGTAATAGTAATGGATAATGCTCTAAACTACTCTTATCGATAAAAGAAAAGCAGAGATTATTTATTTTTATTTTTTTAAAGCTCCCAGCATAGCATTAATAAAAAAATAAAAATAAAAAAGTCCCGCATATAGCCGCCCGGCTATACTATTTATTGAAAAAAAAGATTATAGCCGGATATAGCAGGCTATACTCTTTGAACATTATTCATATGAATTGCTGAATTAAGTTACATGGTGTTGGCTAAGGTTGTTATCAAATCTTTGGGAAAGGGGCCTGTCGCTTTACTATCTTGATGGGAACTAGTTCTTTGATGGTTCTTGTTTCCATATGATTTTGTTAGGTACTGAGATAATTAAATTTTGAAAAACAATAATACTTGATGTAGAAAAAATAAAAAAGTGTGTCACTTTAGCCTTAGATATGCTGAGATAATACTCTAACCACATACCAGATGAATGCAGATTTGCCAAGATCCGAAACCTATCATGCGAGACACCTATAACATGTTTAAAGGTGGGGGTGATCCAGAAAAGGTGTTGACTAAGAAATTTTTTATTTGACCAAAACCATTTCTTAGTTGAGCTAGCCACTTGTGTAGTTCATAAGGTTAGAATCTAGAAAAACATCTCATTTTTGTGCGTCTCCCGATATATTCTCATGTGGTGGTGTTGGTTGTGGAGATGGTGGTGGAAGTGGAGGTTTTGGAGGAGGTGGTGGTGGTGGCGGTGGCGTGGCAGTGGCGGTGGCGGTGGCGGTGGAGGTGGTGAATGTGGTGGTGCAAGTGGTGGAGTTGGATGTGGAAGTAGAGGTGGTGTCATTTTTTAAAATGAATGATGATATTTTAGGAATTAAAAAAATTCATGAAAGGTTCATCTTTGCTTCTTTTGAAAGTAGCTTTGAAAAGAAACCCAGAGTTTGCTTTTAAAAGCTGCTGTCAAAAGGCCACTTCTTTTAAAATAATTGGGATATTTTATTTTTACCAAACATCTTAAACTGCTTAACTTTAAAGTGAAACAGGTTTTCGGCCAAAAAAAGCAATCTCAAGCAATTTTATACTATGAAATTCAACCTTCTTTGATCCACAAAATGTTGGCGGATCCCAATTTTTGTTGTTGTATTTATGGGTTTAACCCGTATTATTTGTTATAAATAAAATCCATTTTTTTTATTCTTTTCCAATGGGCTAATAGTTAGACAGTTAGAAATAATTTGAATGAGAGGTATTAGAAATAATTTAAATTTTCATTCCCCAATATAGCTTGTATAAATAAAATAATTGTAGAAATAACTCTAGCCCAATGGGCTAAAGTGGTATTTTAGCCCCAAAAAATCTAAAACGATATGACAAAAATGTATATTTCAAAGGTATAGCCGAACGGCTATACTGTCTAAATACGTTCGAATATTTTAAAGGTGTAGCCGAACGGTTAGACTCTTTAAATATTAATATATTCGAATATTTTAAGAGTATAGCCGAACGGCTACATTCTTTAAATGTTAACACGAAACTTGCACTCGCAGTCACAGCCATTTCGCTTCTCTATCAAACTAAAGCTCCGATTGGTTTTCTTCGGTTTCGGCTGCTTCGTCCTCCAGCTTCGGCATCGTAAAAAGACCCAACCCGCCTAGGAGGCCGCCCAGCAGCCTAGCCCCCGCCTAGCCGCCTAGCGCCCGCCTAGCCCCCGCCTAGCCGCCTAGCGCTCGCCTAGCACCCGCCTAGCCCCTGCCTAGCAGCCTAGCGCCCTCCTAGCACCCCCCTAGCCCCTGCCTAGCAGCCTAGCGCCCGCCTAGCCCCACATCGCCGGCTTGTTGCAGATTTTGACCGAGAAAATTCTGATATCGGAGACAGGGTCGAGTTCCAGAGCCGTAGAATTGGACCATATTCAGGAGGAGATTGAGGAGGTGTCTGCCGTTCCGGAAGTGAAGGAGGAGAAGAAGAGCAGAAATCCTTTGAGGAAGGGGTCGGAAGGTGAAGAGGTGCGAGCTATGCAGGTCTGCTTGCTTTTGAAATGCGAGTTTTGATTTTTCGGAGTCTATCATTCATTTCTTGTGTTTTGTTTATGATTTAGTGTTGTCTTTGAATTATAAAATGGTACTTTTAAATTTGGCAAATTGAAAACTGAGCAGCATACAGTTTTTTACGACTTACAAGGGGGTATTAACTTTCTCTTTAGTATAGAAAGTTGTTAACTTTTGTTTCTTTTCTTTTTCTGTAACTGGGTTTGTGTGGTTATTTCCTTTTCTAGTGTTTGCTTTGTTTTTGGATGTAATATTCGTGATTTCGACTTGTTCTAATATAATGTTCCTGTTATTTGACAGGAAGCATCGCAAAAACTTGATTTTACTTGGGTGAGGAAGACATGGAGTTTTCCAGCTTCTCAAGTGGGACCAAACGTGCTGTCAAGACTTGGCAAGTAAGTTACAATTAACATTAGATGTTACTGTGTATAATGCATGAAGAGTAAAATTTCAGAATCATCAAGTTGAACAAAAATTTCACAACGCAAAATATAATATCTTGTTTGACAGGCCTCCTTAGACGCCCCTCAAGATGGCATAGTGACTGCATAACTTCTTGAACAATTATATACGGTGGCACAAATTGAGGGTCTGGATAACAAAGGGAGTACTCTGACTGCTACACAAAAGGTATAGCCTTCTGACAACATACCATTAGCCTTTATTAAGTGGAAGCCGTTGATGTTTTAAGTTTCAGTACCAATATATCATTCCTCACTTGGAACTGAACATAATGGTTTGGTAAGTCATTACTTGCATTCCTCAAGAGGAGCCAAAAACTCATTTGATGGTTCAATTTGAAGTGAACCTAAGCCTTCATTTTCTTCAACCAGTTGATGAGACAATCACTTAACATGCAAATAAATACGATATGACTGTGAGGTAATGTGCTGTGGTAACTGGTAACACACCGTAACTTATTTTGGATACTGATAAATGAAGCTGATTATATTGGTAAACTGATTTTCTTCTCCTGGTTGGCCTTGAGCTAGCAACCTGCTCATGTTCGTATAAGCTTTAGCGAACCACTACATAGGCTGAAACATAGTAATTCTTCTAATGGTTGCGTGGGTTATGTTGTTTGGGAAGATACAAATGGAGCTGCAGTTACTTCTGGAACAGAAATTTCAGAGGTCCAGCAAACACTTGTGAAAGAAGGTGTTACAAAAGTAGAGGTATCTAAGCATCGTGTTTTTCTCCTTGGAGAGAACCGCTGGAAAGATTCGTCTGGACTTAGCAGGAACCAAAAAAACGTAGGTGAAAGCAAGACAGTGAATACCACAACAAGGTGTGTTACTTGTCGAGGGGAGGGTCGCTTATTGTGCGCAGGTACCTCCAGTCCGTCTCCTGTCTTAGTCACTATATTCAAGTTTATAAACCATTGCCTTGCTACGCTAAACTTTTGCAGAAGTACTCTAAATCCACCCATACTATGTATTTGTGTATTTATTTTGTTTGATCTGATTTTTAAATATAATGTTGAACACCAATGGCTTTGATGATGATATGCATTAGTTTTATTTTTGTACTTTTGCATATTTTGTTTCAACTATCCTCAGTCCCCTTGTTTCAACTGTGTCTTGATTGAATCGTTCCATATTTTCTGATTTGTTAGTCATCCTGCCCATTTTTATAAGGTTTATGATTCATATTTTCCATTAGTTTCATGCCCTATACTAACCCAATAACCTTGCAAACAGATGTTGTTAAGATATGGGATGAAGTGTTGGACAATGAGGCAACTCCGATTGAGTATGCCGAGAAGCTTGATAACCTACATACAAAGTACTGCCCCAAGCGATGCAAAGCTCAACAAGTTTCTACTTTACCCTCCTCCACCTCCTGTATTGTAAATTCAAGTTGTAAAATTTTGAAATGCTCCAACAACCGCTCTGAATCTCAAATGATATCGTGGACTACTTTTCTATCCATTTATCGAGATGTTAATAGTACATTGCAACTTTTACTTCACTCCTGTTGGACTTGAATACTTTGAACTTGGAACTGTTGGTAAGAATGTGCTTGTGAGCGTCCATGTTTTGGTCGGGTGGACATAGCCTACTCTTGTTCAGTCATATTCATTGAGGTCCAGAGGTTATGGTGGCGATAACCTTTTTCTTCATGCCCTGCCTTTCATTTACTACCTTATTTTTCAGACAACATATGTATATCTTTGCATACTTAGTTGTTTCAAGTCGCCATCAATCAATGTTATGTGGGGGTCTTCCAGATTTTGCGCTATGCTTTTCACATGGAGATCATGTGTCATTTACAATCACCTGACTCTTCCATGTTAATCCCACTATATTATGCATAAAAAATAAAAACCCTACTTTATAATACAGAAAATAACCCTACATGCAAGTAGATGCTTTGTAATCTTAGAGATCATAGATCATTTTCTGTGAACTCACCCAAATAATGCAAAAACAGAACCAGAATACTGATTGGCTAGGCATATGTTATGTGCTGCACGCGAAAGGTTTCTCTTCGAAGCAAAAACGGTTGGAGATAGGAGGTTGAACAGAGTTTGTATGGCCAAGTAACTAGCAAAAAGTAAAGACTTCTCTTCTGGGATGGATGAGCAGCTAGCTAAGGAGGCAATAAAAGCAGGTAGACCATTGATCTTGCGTTAATAGTCATGTATATGTTTTGTGATGTAAATTTTACAGTGTAGAATGGTCTTCAGATAATTTTCTGTTTATTATAGAGGCTTGTCTAGTTGCATTAATACCAAGAATTTCCTCACCCTTAAGTGATTGTTCTTAATGCATAGCTTGTTGCTGCATTTTCAAAAGGCCGAGAGAGTGATTACTTCTACGCTTCTTTATATGCTGGGCTTTATTATGAAAGTCAGGTTTCTTAACGCCTAGCTTGTTGCTGCATTTTCAAAACGCTAGGCTGTCTAAAACACTTGAATGGTGTTTGCCACGTGTCAAAACACTTGAAAAGTACCCCCGATTTCGGAGTTGGCCAAAGTGAGTTGGGGCTCCAAGTTTCAACATATCCAAAGCATATATTGAAAAGAGAGAAATTTCACAGTAAATCAATCTAAGAGTTCAATTTTATCTTCTTCTTTTTTTCGTGAGAATGTTTGTCTTTGATCTACATCGGTGTCTAGAGTGCTACTAAATTATGTTACCGCACACATTATTTTTCGTAGAGAATTGCATGCTGGGTTGGAGTGGTCTTGGTAATTGCTTCACTTTTCAAACAACACTTTACATGAAGAAAACTACCACCTCTCTTACTACTATACCCATAATACCTTGTTTGAAATTGTTGTTCTCGTTGGCAAAGGGATTGCAAAATCACCATCTTGCATTTTTCTCACAACAAGTAAGAAATAATATCAGCCTCTCAATTTCTTTCATAGTTAGTAAAATACAGAACGGGAAAAATAAGAATAAAATCTGTACGTGTTTTATTCGGCAAAATTTTGACAAGTTACAACTGAAAAGTTCAGCCACTATATAATATTTTAAAATATATTATTTTGATTCAATAATATGTGAAATTTATGTGTATATAATACGTGAATTTTGTATTATTGAAAATTTTGTAAAAACCACGTGTATTAAAAATGAAAAATACGTACGTATGTGTACAAGAAGTGTATTGTATATTTGCTTTTGACAAAACGTGTATTGTACCAAGTCTTTAAAACGTGTATGGAAAATGGAAGTATTATTGAAAATATATACGTACGTGTATAATACAAGTATTAAACGGGAAAATGCTAAATTCTTGATATGGGTAAAACTATGAAAAAGTAAAAAATCAAAATGGGACAATGGAGACTCGGGTAATGAAGTAATAGTAATGGATAATGCTCTAAACTACTCTTATCGATAAAAGTCGGAGATTTTGTTTTGTTTTTTTTTAAAGGACCCAGTACAGCATTAATAAAAAAATAAAAATAAAAAAGTCCCGAATGTAGCCAACCGGCTATACTATTTATTGAAAAAAATATATATCCTGGTGTAGCAGGCTATACTCTTTGAACATTATTTTTGAAAAAAAGTGTGTTGGGTACGGATATGAATTGCTGAATTAAGTTACATAGTGTTGGCTAAGGTTGTTATCAGATCTTTCGGAAAAGGGGCCTGTCACTTTACTATCTTGATAGGTACTAGTTCTTTGATGGTTCTTGTTTCCACATATGATTTTGTTAGGTACTGAGATAATTAAATTTTGAAAAACAATAATACTTGATGTAGAAAAAATAAAAAAGTGTGTCACTTTAGCCTTAGATATGTCATTGGAATAAAAGTAAAAATTAAGGTTTTTATTTTTATTTTTCCATATGAGGAAGATTATGGATGAAGTTAAAGTAGGTTTTGAGCTAGTGACTTTTGGCCATTTGTAGGAGCAAGCATAACCAAGTATATTTATGAGTGAATGTATAATTCTAGGTGACACTCTTTTAAGTGCTTTTTACTCCCATGTATTGAGTGAAAGTTGAATAAAATTCTTCTAACCACATACCAGATGAATGCAGATTGGCCAAGATCCGAAACCTGTCATGCGAGACACCTATAACATGTTTAAAGGTGGGGGTGATCCAGAAAAGGTGTTGACTAAGAAATTTTTTATTTGACCAAAACCATTTCTTAGTTGAGCTAGCTACTTGTGTAGTTCATAAGGTTAGAATCTAGAAAAACATCTCATTTTTGTGCGTCTCCCGATATATTCTCATGTGGGTGGGTGTTGGTTGTGGAGATGGTGGTGGAAGTGGAGGTTTTGGAGGAGGTGGTGGTAGTGGTGGTGGTGGTGGTGGTGATGGTGGAGGTGGAGTTGGAGTTGGACGTGGTGGTGGACATGGTGGTGGTGGTGGTGGTGGCGGCAATGGAGGTAGTGAATGTGGTGGTGCAAGTGGTGGAGTTGGATGTGGAAGTCGAGGTGGTGTCATTTTTTAAAATGAATGATGGTAATTTGGGAATTTAAAAAATTCATGAAAGGTTCATCTCCGCTTCTTTTGAAAGTAGTTTTGAAAAGAAACCCAGAGTCTGCTTTTAAAAGCTGCTGTCAAAACAAAAGGCCACTTCTTTTAAAATAATTAGGATATTTTATTTTTACCAAACACCTTAAATTGCTTAACTTTAAAGTGAATCAGGTTTTTTTTGCCAAAAAAAGCAATCCCAAGCAATTTTATACTATGAAATTCAACCTTCTTTGATCCACAAAATGTTGGCGGATCCCAATTTTTTGTTGTTGTATTTATGGGTTTAACCCGTATTATTTGTTATAAATAAAATTCATTTTTTTATTCTTTCCCAATGGGCTAATAGTTAGATTGTTAGAAATCATTAGAATGAGAGGTATAAGAAAGAATTTAAATTTTCATACCCCCAATATCGCTGGTATAAATAAAATAATTGTAGAAATAACTCTAGCCCAATGGGCTAAAGTGGTATTTTAGCCCTAAAACCTAAAACGATATGACAAAAATGCATATTTCAAGGGTATAGCCGGACGGCTATACTGTCTAAATACGTTCGAATATTTTAAAGGTGTAGCCGAACGGCTAGACGTTTTAAATATTAATATATTCGAATATTTTAAGAGTATAGCCGAACGGCTATACGCGTTAAATATTAACACGAAGCTTGCATTCGCAGTGATAGCCATTTCGCTTCTCTATCAAACTAAAGCTCCGATTGGTTTTCTTCGGTTTCGGCTGCTTCGTCCTCCAAGTTCGGCATCGTAAAAAGACCCAACCCGCCTAGGAGGCCGCCCAGCCGCCTAGCCGCCTAGCACCCGCCTAGCCCCCGCCTAGCCGCCTAGCACCCGCCTAGCCCCCGCCTAGCCGCCTAGCACCCGCCTAGCCCCTGCCTAGCCGCCTAGCGCCCGCCTAGCCCCACATCGCCGGCTTGTTGCAGATTTTGACCGAGAAAATTCTGATATCGGAGACAGGGTCGAGTTCCAGAGCCGTATAATTGGACCATATTCAGGAGGAGATTGAGGAGGTGTCAGCCGTTCCGGAAGTGAAGAAGAAGAAGAAGAGCAGAAATGCTTTGAGGAAGGGGTCGGAAGGTGAAGAGGTCCGAGCTATGCAGGTCTGCTTGCTTTTGATATGCGAGTTTTGATTTTTCGGAGTCTATCATTCATTTCTTGTGTTTTGTTTATGATTTAGTGTTGTCTTTGAATTACAAACTGGTACTTTTAAATTTGGCAAATTGAAAACTGAGCAGCATACAGTTTTTTACGACTTACAAGGGGGTATTAACTTTCTCTTTAGTATAGAAAGTTGTTAACTTTTGTTTCTTTTCTTTTTCTGTAACTGGGTTTGTGTGGTTATTTCCTTTTCTAGTGTTTGCTTCGTTTTTGGATGTAATATTTGTGATTTCGACTTGTTCTAATATAATGTTCCCGTTATTTGACAGGAAGCATCGCAAAAACTAGGATTTTACTTTGGTGAGGAAGACATGGAGTTTTCCAGCTTCTCAAGCGGGACCGAACGTGTTGTCAAGACTTGGCAAGTAAGTTTCAATTATCATTAGATGTTACTATGTATAATGCATGAAGAGTAAAATTTTAGAATCATCAAGTTGAACAAAAATTTCATAACGCAAAATATATATGTTAGTCAACTTGTAATATCTTGTCTGACAGGCCTCCTTAGACGCCCCTCAAGATGGCATAGTGACTGCAGAACTTCTTGAACAATTATATACGGTGGCACAAATTGAGGGTCTGGATAACAAAGGGAGTACTCTGACTGCTACACAAAAGGTATATCCTTCTGACGACATACCATTAACCTTTATTAAGTGGAAGCCGTTGATGTTTTAAGTTCCAGTACCAATATATCATTCCTCACTTGGAACTGAACATAATGGTTTGATAAGTCATTACTTGCATTCCTCAAGAGGAGCCAAAAACTCATTTGATGGTTCAATTTGAAGTGAACTAAGCCTTCATTTTCTTCAACCAAATTGTAAAGAATTGTAGCAAACAGTACTAAGTACCAACCAAGAAGCTCTGTTACTTAATTGAGAAACGGACCTGAAGCGCCGACTCTATTTTCAGTAACTCAGACATCAGGTTTCTTGGTTCCAGTTCATGAGACAATCACTTAACATGCAAATAAATACGATATGACTGTGAGGTAATGTGCTGTGGTAACTGGTAACACACCGTAACTTATTTTGGATACTAATAAATGAAGCTGATTATATTGGTAAACTGATTTTCTTCTCCTGGTTGGCCTTGAGCTAGCAACCTGCTCATGTTCGTATAAGCTATAGCGAACCACTACATAGGCTGAAACATAGTAATTCTTCTAATGGTTGCGTGGGTTATGTTGTTTGGGAAGATACAAATGGAGCTGCAGTTACTTCTGGAACAGAAATTTCAGAGGTCCAGCAAACACTTGTGAAAGAAGGTGTTACAAAAGTAGAGGTATCTAAGCATCGTGTGTTTCTCCTTGGAGAGAACCGCTGGAAAGATTCGTCTAGACTTAGTAGGAACCAAAAAAAAGTAGGTGAAAGCAAGACAGTGAATACCACAACAAGGTGTGTTACTTGTCGAGGGGAGTGTCGCTTATTGTGCGCAGGTATCTCCTGTCTGTCTCCTGTCTTAGTCACTATATTCAAGTTTATAAACCATTGCCTTGCTACGCTAAACTTTTGCAGAAGCACTCTAAATCCACCCATACTATGTATTTGTATATTTATTTTGTTTGATCTGATTTTTAAATATGATGTTGAACACCAATGGCTTTGATGATGATATGCATTAGTTTTAGTTTTGTACTTTTGCATATTTTGTTTCAACTATCCTCAGTCCCCTTGGTAGCTTATCTGTATTTCTTTGTTGCAGAATGTGATGGAACAGGCGAGCCAAACATTGAAGAACAGGTTAGAGGTTTCAAACACAGATATTAATATTCTCATTTTCGAGCATTATCCATCCAGAATGAAGTTTTAATTATTTTGTTAAATGACAGCAGTTCTTGGATTGGGTGGAAGAGGGAGCAAAATGTCCATATTGTGAAGGTCATGGGTTTACAATTTGCGAAGTATGTGAAGGGGCAACAGTAGCTTAAGTATCAAAATATCTTCCCATAAAGACATGTGCAGTTTTATGCTTTAGTACATGTGTTTAATGGTAGTTTGCATTTATAAACAAATGCAGAAAATCATATGTATATCTACTGTTTATTATACAAGTCAATGGGGTCTAGCTCAGTAAAAAAGGATAATGACTTGCAAACCAGAGGTCTCATGCTCGAACCACGAAATCATAGTTGTGTGTGTGTTTGGGAAATCCCCCTCCCCTTTAGACTATTGCTTGTACTATAAAATAAAAAATAAAAAATTTAATAAAAAATAAAAAAAAAAAGTTGACGTTGTACTTGGAAATTAAAGAGAAAAATAAAAAGGGAAGTTGCCAATCGGCAAATTTAATACTTGATCAATAATTCAACAGACCAATTGTTATGAATACACATCAATAGGACGTGTTAATGCAAATAATAAACCGAGATTTAACATTTAACTGTTATATATATATATATGTATAAATAGATATTCTCATTTCTTTATATGGTATTCTAGGAATTCTTAAAAAATTATATAAAGAAGAAATTAATCTATTCAAGCATTTTGAGCACTAATATCGCTTGAAGAAATAACTCTAGCCCAGTTGGGTAAAATGGTATTTTTGCCCACCTGGGCCGATTTTTGGAACACTGCAATTGACTGAAAATCTGAAACCCGAAATTGAAAAAATTTAGCTGCAAATTTGAGCTTGAGATTGGGAAGCCGATGCAGTGAAGCACAAGTCAGGTTCATAGAAGAAGATATCATGAGACTCTTAATTCATCTAATTCCATTTCTCTCCCTGTTTCCCGCCTTATTCTCTTCTCTCTTAGCTCTCTCCCAAACGACATGTTCACCTCACCACACCAACGACAACAACGACAATTCCTCCCTCTGCCAACTCCACCTTGTTCTCTTCTCTCTTCGCATTGACAACATGGTACAGAAGAAAAAAAAATACAAAATTTGCTGACTTGGTGTCTGTCTTCAGTGGAAGGAAAATGATGAAGCTATCCTATCATGGAGTTTCTATGGTCTTGCCAATAACAAGGTTCGGTTTTTAGGCCCCAATCTCAAATTCTGACTATTTATTTCTGTTTTGGTTAAGCAATAGATTGATTGGTTTGGTTCTTCTTCCTTGAAGCTTGATAAATCTTTATGCTTTCAATATTCATCCATTGATGGTTCTTCTTGGTTGGGCTGCTTTTCATTCTTTGGATATTGCATTTCTGTTATAGATTTTGACAGTTGATCATGCCCTCGTGTTTGCAGGGAGAAAAAATAATAATAATAAGAGTTGTCTCCTCCTCCTCTTGCATAGGAACACAAAACCAACCCACCAAAGAACAGAAAAAAAAAAAAAAAAAAAAATTGGTGTGGGAAAGAGGATATCAGCTAATAATCAAAAGTTTGGTGTGACTGCAGAAAAGGTGTCCATTCTGGAATGTCTGATAGATACGCTTAGGCGACAAGAAAGTTTCTGAACAAAATCATAACCATACTATTAGTAGTCCATCCATATGCACTTTTAGAAGATCCACTTGCTTTTTGTGGTATAGTTGATTAGAGATACTTATTGTTGTCAAACATGGGAGACTTTTTTGCTCATCTCTTAAATCAATTGTTATTTCATATTTTTATGAAAAAATTGAATGGAAGTGCTCAATAACTAAGCATCTTTATCAAATGATTTGGCAGGTTGAAAATCAAGAACCCACTATGGAATTCTGGAATTCTGGAAGAGATCGCTAAACCCTTTAACATGGACAGAAATACTGCGTCAAGTACTGGCTGCCGCTGGTTTTGGTTCAAAGCAAGGTGCAAGGCGAAGGGATGCCCTTAGCAAGGTCTTCTAATTTAACTCCCATAGTTGCAATTGATTTTTCTAAGCTCCATTTCCTCTCTAGTAAATGTATTTAATTATCAACACATCTGTATTCTACAAGTTAAGTGCTATAGATGCCCAATAATATGTGTTCATCACCCAAAACCTTGAGCATTCAAAGCCTTATTGGCAATAGTAATTTAAGATCTGTCATTACCCCGAATAATCTGTTTCTACCTTGAGGCAAAGCCCCGGTTGGATGGTTTCATTTTCCATACTTAAGGACCAAAATCAGAAATTTTAGGTTTTACATATAACATGTAGTGATTGAATGTTAAAGGAAATAGTTTCTTCAGTTTTGTTTGTTGGCATTATCGTGCATTCCTAAATAATATCTGTTGAGCATATGTTTATTTGTCTCCGCTTGTCTCTGGAATTATTTGCTTTAATGACTAGACAAGCGCATGAGCCTTTATTTACTTTCTTATGGTGGTTTTATTTATGTTATACAATTGATAAGCTTTATCTGTTAGGACTGATGGAAGGCGAATATTCAGATTTAAGCATTGAAGAAAAGTTGAGCGCAATAGTGGCACCAATTGATCTTCTTCATGCAGGTTTCTATTTTGAAAATGGAGGTGACATATAGAATCTTTGCATGGACATTGAAACCTTTTCTTTGTTTTTATTTTTCCCCTACTATGAGGTTGCCCTATTAAATGGTCCTTTGTGTTCGGTCATTTGTAAGATAATATCATCTGAATGGTGCATATTGCATTATATATATAAATACTTTGACAGTAAATATTATTTGAATATTCAATAGGATTCAAGTTGCCGTAATTATTATGGTGGTTTATAAGTTTAATATTATATTTTCAAACCTTGATATTATACTACTTTTACTTTTGTATTTTCTGTATCCTTGATATCACAAACAAAAACACAAAAACAAACAAAAAACCTGCTAAAAAAAAAGTCCACTTTTTTTAATATAGGGCCCTTTTAATACAAGGTTTAAGCCCATTTTACAAAACCCAACCCGTTAGTTATATTAAAAATTAGGTTAGATGTCTTCTTCTTCCCAGCGCAGCCTACACTCCTTCCTCTCGCTGTTTCGACTTCGTCTCTCTCTCTCTCTCTCTCTCTCTCGGTCTTTCTTCATGCAGTGCCTCAACAACAAAACGCCAGCCCAGACCAGCCCAGGCTAGCGCTAGGCGGCCTAGGCGGGCACAAGGCGGGCGCTAGGCGGACTAGGCGGGTTAATACTTACAAGACGTAAATTTATGAGTTAATACTTACAAGACGTAAAGATAAAGATACGATTATTTGGAGCCTTGATCAGTTCATCTTACCAACTTCATGAGTGAGTACTCCCTTGATCAGAATTGGCAAGTTCTAAAAATTTAAGAAGAAAAGAATGTTACTGTTTTGAGTGTAGCAGAAACTGCTCTGCTATACGTGTAGCAGAGGAATTTTCATTTCTATTCACTCTCAGCCTCACGCACTTGGAGTGAGGGAATATAGCCGTTACATCACAAAGGTGATCTCAGCCATTCATTTAGACATCCAATAGGATCTTTACACTTGGCTTGTAAAATTAAAGGAGACGAAAAACTGTTTTAACTAACTAATAAGTCAGCTTAAGAACTTATAATTCAACAAAGAAACCAGGTAGAACACAGGGCCAGAAATGAGTATAAAACTTCACTTTAATGGATGTCTTATAGCCTCAATCTCTGCAGAAAGTTACAAACTTACAACTGAGTAAAGTCTGTATAAATCATGCATCTTCATAGTGTAATCCCAAAAACAGAAATAATAAAAATTAGCCTTAGAGTAAGAAGATCTGTAGCATAGAACATCGAATCATATGACTCTGTAATGAGAAGACTCAACTGATTCATACCTCCACTTGGATCATACAACTGACAAGCAAAACTTATTTGATCGCACAAAGAAGCATCAAACGTCTCTTTGACAAAAGCTTCCACTTTCAATCCTTCATCCTGCACATCCACATAGATAAACATGTACTTCCACTTGGATCATACAACTGACAAGCAAAACTTATTTCAATCAGCACACAGACATTCATGTTGTGAATAATCACAATGCACAAGATTTACTCTTTGGATTAGTTTGTTAAAAAGTTATCAAATAGTGAAAAGAAAAATTAGTTAATAAACAATACACGTCTCGACCACGTTCTCAAGAATCTGTAACGGGATTGTGCATAATTTGGAAACAAGTGTCATATTTCCACTAATAGCTCTGGTGAATAATAAGTAGAATGGATTATGGAAAACCTAAATAACCTGATTAATTTACTTAGAGGCAGTGATGCGCAGCATCTCACTTTCTAGGCTTAACAAGTTAAACATTTTAAAGTACAAATAGAACACGATATTACGAGAAAATAATACATAATACCTATTCATAACTAAACAATTACACTCACAGAGTTTACGTCAGTTGATAAAATGCCTTCAAAGTTCTTCAACTGAGGTGCAACCATTCTGCAGAAGTTGTCACAGTCATGTTTCCAATGAGATGCATAAGATATAGTTCAATCCACCACATGAGAGTGTTAACAAAACGACATTTGATATGATGTTACACATAAAAGTTTCTTTCATGGCATAAAGCAAGTTATATCACACTTCAAAACCAATAAATTCCATGGCATGGAGAAACAGAACACAGGCAAAATGAGATGACATGAACCTATTCTTTATGTCTGCCTCTCTTCGACCAAGTCTGGGAGCATCAACAGTTAAGATAATAGCCTTGTATCCACTTTTTTCAGCTCTCTGAACTATCTGAGCTGATATATCTCGTCTCTTGTAAACCTGTTCAGGAAAGGTACCATTTGATAGCTTGAGCCCCAGTAGGCAGGATAGAAACTGAAAAAACTGTAAACAAGAAGAATATTCCGTAAAGAAAAACTTGTCTAGTGAAATTAAAATGAGTTCAAGAGAGAATAAGTACATATAATTGAAAGAACCGAACAGCATTGCAGCTGGAAGCAACGTCCTCCACAGTGCATGTAGATATGTTGGATAAAACCTACAATGAAAAATACAACAATTCAAAAACCTAACTACACATGTATTAGCTCAATACATGTTACAATTATACCATTATGGTGTTGCATGCTGCTGCTGCTCTAGCAGTGGCGACCTCTCCTGTCGTAAATATAAAGAGCAGGTTAAAACTAGCAGTGTCTGAAAGCAAATCTCAACTGAGTACTCTTCAAATACGATTTAGACCTTCGGGGTGGGCTAACTGATGCCTAGCTGTAGGAGCAATCATTATAGGTGCTGAGATTTTGTAACCCAATACAGTAGTTGACATATCTACTCTGCTAACATCTACAAGAACTCTAGGCCGCAACCTGAAAGAAATACATAGGAATCACTCAAGCAAATATATTGTATTTGACGGTATTCGTCAGCAGGTTTAAACATTACATGATTCTGCGAAATGCATCAACATTTTGCTTTAGCGTGTGCTGGTCCTCAGCTCCCCCAGTATAGAAATCATAGTACATTTTTGGAAGAACTTGCCTAGCCAATTCTCGGAACTCATTCACATTGACAGGTTCGGAGGCCATTTATCCTGGGAACATACACATTGATCAATCATAGCTTTCGAGTTTCAAACAATCCATCCTAGATGATACGACATAAACATCAGAAACTACAAGGAAAGGGCTATAGATTTTACTTAGAATCTACAGAACTGGATGAACATCCATTGCAATTTTATAATGGACATTTCAGAAGGAAATAAAGGGAAAAGTTGTGGGGCCTCTATAATCCCAAACAATTTGTGTTTGTCAAATATTCACCAACAACTGAATTATGTGTTTTGCTATCCAAAAAACTTACTTCACAATTAGCACTAAAACAACTAAGAACTGCTTCAAAAGCTTTGAATCAAAACCATCAGAAAGAAAGCATGTCTTTTTTTTGGATAGGAAAAAAAAAGCATGTTGATCCACTAAAAATATGTGCATTCAAGCTCACATGGTAATCAAATAAGCTGATCTTAAACCAAAAAGTAAGCTAAGTCAAACAATATGAGTAGAATATTTTCAGATGTATTTCATTCTCCGAAATGAGGTATTTATAATACAAGGTTACAAACCCTAGTAGGGTTATACTAGGAAATAAGAAAAGTGCTAATTACATAATATCTATACAAAAAGGAAATAAATAAAATTCTAATAGAATAAGAAAGAAATATCCTAATATAACTAGGATATCTCGCCAACACTCCCCCTCAAGTTAGAGCAAAGACGTCACGCATGCCCAACTTGTCAAGCGAGTTGTGGAAGATACTAGTAGAAACAGCCTTCGTAAGGACATCTGCTAACTGATACTCAGAACTGATGAATGGGAAGGAAACAATCTCCGCATCCACCTTTTCTTTAATGAAATTTCGATCGACCTCCACATGCTTTGTACGATCATGTTGTACAGGGTTATGAGCAATTGCAATCGCAGCCTTATTATCGCAATATAAATCCATAGGTTTCTTAGGCCCAAAGCCAAGATCTCTCAATAATCTCCTCAACCACAATAATTCACACACACCATGGGCCATTCCATGATACTCAGCCTCAGCACTAGATCGAGACACCACCTTTTGTTTCTTGCTTCTCCAAGTAACAAGATTACCACCAACAAATGTAAAATACCCAGACGTAGAACGCCTATCAGTAGCTGAACCTGCCCAATCAGCATCTGTGTATCCTTCCACATTTGTATGACCATACTTGGAAAACATTAATCCCTTGCCATGAGTTACTTTGAGATATCTCAAAATACGTGTCACAGCTCCCATATGATCTTCACTAGGTGAGTTGACAGGACCCGCCCCGAATTTCCCGAAACCCGAGACGAACCCTGCGGAGACCCCGGCATCACACCCACGCCGGGTTCACTCCTTAAAACTATGTCCTCTTTTACCAGAGAGGATTTAGGGCACGAGACTTTCTGCCAAAATTTCGGCAGAGTCTCCCCTGTAAATTGAACATTCACCCAAAATTTCCACCTGCAAAGAACGCATTTTATAACCCCCACCAGCAGCACGCACAATATAATCTCATGCAATTTACATAAATGGCCTCCAGCCTTCAAATGATTCTAGCAGAACTACTCACACTGCTTTTAAAGTAACTCCATGCATATAAACAATTCCAAATCTATCTATGCACACCTTCACTCACTCAGTCCACCGGACAAACCTCAATTCAACCAAGTTTCGGGACCAACCACGAGGTCCGCATCATACTCGATAAAACCACCTAAGTGGTGTATAGGTCGTGGCTGCACCTAGGCGCTATCCCAGGCTGCCTACGTACCCTACTAAGGGATCAAGCCACACGTAGCTCTTTCCTATCAATCCTGGCTCCTGATATCAATTAAACCATTACATCCATATAAATTCATACATTCTCGGGTTTATCCATCACAACACACCCAACATAATCACATAGCTCCCACTCATACGTCGGGACGCACCCGGCCACGTACGGGGTCTGTCAACACGCCGGCTAACCCAAAGACGCGTGCGACCTCACACTGGGCCTGGCTACATTCTCACCAGCCATCATACCATCATAACTCCCACTCATACGTCGGGACGCACCCGGCCACGTACGGGGTCTGTCAACACGCCGGCTAACCCAAAGACGCGTGCGACCTCACACTGGGCCTGGCTACATTCTCACCAGCCCTCATACAACCATATCTCCCACTCATACGTCGGGACGCACCCAGCCACGTACGGGGTCTGTCAACACGCCGGCTAACCCAAAGACGCGTGCGACCTCACACTGGGCCTGGCTACATTCTCACCAGCCCTCACATAACCATAACTCCCACTCATACGTCGGGACGCACCCAGCCACGTACGGGGTCTGTCAACACGCCGGCTAACCCAAAGACGCGTGCGACCTCACACTGGGCCTGGCTACATTCTCACCAGCCCTCACATAACCATAACTCCCACTCATACGTCGGGACGCACCCGGCCACGTACGGGGCCTGTCAACACGCCGGCTAACCCAAAGACGCGTGCGACCTCACACTGGGCCTGGCTACATTCTCACCAGCCCTTATACCATCATGTCACCCACTCATACGTCGGGACGTACCCGGCCACGTACGGGGCCTGTCAACACGCCGGCTAACCCAAAGACGCGTGCGACCTCACACTGGGCCTGGCTACATTCTCACCAGCCCTTATACCATCATATCACCCACTCATACGTCGGGACGTACCCGGCCACGTACGGGGCCTGTCAACACGCCGGCTAACCCAAAGACGCGTGCGACCTCACACTGGGCCTGGCTACATTCTCACCAGCCCTTATACCATCATATCACCCACTCATACGTCGGGACGTACCCGGCCACGTACGGGGCCTGTCAACACGCCGGCTAACCCAAAGACGCGTGCGACCTCACACTATCACTTGGGCCTGGCTACATTCTCACCAGCCATCTTACCATCATAACTCCCACTCATACGTCGGGACGCACCCGGCCACGTACGGGGCCTGTCAACACGCCGGCTAACCCAAAGACGCGTGCGACCTCACACTGGGCCTGGCTACATTCTCACCAGCCCTTATACCATCATATCACCCACTCATACGTCGGGACGTACCCGGCCACGTACGGGGCCTGTCAACACGCCGGCTAACCCAAAGACGCGTGCGACCTCACACTGGGCCTGGCTACATTCTCACCAGCCCTTATACCATCATATCACCCACTCATACGTCGGGACGTACCCGGCCACGTACGGGGCCTGTCAACACGCCGGCTAACCCAAAGACGCGTGCGACCTCACACTGGGCCTGGCTACATTCTCACCAGCCCATCATACCATCATATCTCCCACTCATACGTCGGGACGTACCCGGCCACGTACGGGGTCTGTCAACACGCCGGCTAACCCAAAGACGCGTGCGACCTCACACTGGGCCTGGCTACATTCTCACCAGCCCTCATACCATCATATTATGGGGGGTACGTGGAGTAGTGCGTATAGCACTGTAAACTAACATTCAATCTCCTTATATATCATTATACATCCACACAATCAATTAAATATATCATACAATAACATCAACCAATAAAACATTCCATAAACTCCCACAATATCCATTTAACTCAACAACGCTCAAGACCTGTCACTAAGGTCATCCTAACCCTCAAGGAAAGGTAAGACTATCTCGGGAGTCTCACGGTCAACCTAGGGTCAAACGGGCCTGCGGGGCCCACAACCTCCAAATTCAGATCTGACAGTTCCTATAGGTTCTACCAGGTCTAGGACACACGTCCTGCAAGTCTGGTCCAGATCGAACGGTCGGATCGCTCACGACCGCAGGATCGGATGGTTACTAAAACCCTAACCCCAGGGTTGGCATTTCCGGAGTATCCGGGACTCCGTTTTACGATCCGTGGAATCCTACACGATCCCGGTAATACCTAGATCAACATATTATAACTTCAGGACCATCCAACGGTCCAAACCTAGCGAACCCGGAAAATACGCGATATGCGATATCCGTTCGGGACTCTAACGATATCCAAAATGAGATCCGAGCACGCCTACGCGCTCATGACAACCTGAGGATCCCATTGGGACAAAAATGCCCCTCAGCTACAGTGCCCACGCGCCGCCACACGCGCCGGCAGCGCGTGGGTGTCCAAAGCGATACCCATCGCCGGAAAACTTCCAAATCGTGAGCCCAGACTCCTACCCTAGGTAATACACCTAATTTGGAGTCACTTTTGTTCTTGGACGTACCCCAAAAACTGACCGGAAGTGGCCGGAATCTCATCCCGAAATCCGGCCGAACCCTAACTCGAAAATCAGATAATCTAGACTCAAAATCGATGCAATCCTACCCAACCATCAGCTAGATCATGCAGAAGGGATGAATTTCCATACCTTGATCGCCAAAAATGGCGGCCGGACGACGGAGAACGAAGCCGGCGAATTTTCTGTCAAAACCGGAGCTTTTCTCCTCGTTTTCCGGCGAAACCACGGCGGCTGGCGACGGGACCTGGCCGGGGTAGGAAGAGGACGGCGGCCCGGTCATTTTGGTACCGGCCCCGTCAACTTTGGTGGCCGGACGAGAGCACGGCCGGCCAAAACGTGGCCGGCCACAGTGGCTGTCGCGAAAACCAGAGGAGAGAGAGAGACGCGCGGGAGAAGAGAGAGAGTGTGTGAGAGACGGGGGCAATTCCGTCTTTTAACCAAAAATCCCACTTCAAAATATTTACGATTATGCCACTGAGCTCCATTTGATCATATCTCTCTCGTTACAACTCCGATTCGAGCCCACTACGTGTCTACGGACTCATCTCACCGTGCTCTACGCAACGGTACAACCGGAATTCCCAAAGTCCTTCCGGATAAGAAAATGACTAAAATACCCCTATCCCACGGGTAATTTCTCAATTCCACTTAAATTAATTAAAACAGGGGATAAATTTGGAGTCGGGGTGTTACAAACTACCCCCCTTATAAAAATTTCGTCCCCGAAATTTCATACCTGTCACTCCAAAAGGTGTGGGTACTGGGCCCGCATCTACTGCTCGGGTTCCCATGCTTCATCCTCCACAACCAAGTTGGCAGCCAAGTCATTCCATTTGTGATTTGATTCTCTTTGTCAGAAAGGATCATTTTTACCGAATTGTAATCATCATCTTCCTCTCTCTACCATGACCCATTTCTGATTCCGATGAAAGATTTCTGCTCAAACGTGCTCACTGCACACAATCGAGGATTAGCAACATGTTCAGGCAATGGAGGATCCCCAGAAGTAGATTGATCAACTCCATGTCCTCCTGCCCATAAGAACTCTACAAACTTCATCCAACACTACTACTTCTCAACTTAATTTGTCGCGACCCTCCTTGGTCGGACTCACAACTCCTCCATTCCCATGTAACTTGTCCATCAACTTCCTCTGACAATTTCGTCCCATCTCAGCGGATTCAATACTTTCGGCTCTTCCGTTTCCTCCCATAGGATATTGAGATACAACAATTTGGATAGACACGTTTCTAGGAACGTGACACCCTTAAGTGTACTCATCAATACCTAAATCCATCTATGTCAAAGAATCCTTCGCGTCAAAATGATGACGTCCCGTGACGGAACCCATCATGATCCCACAACTTAAGGATGCACACAAGGTGCGGGGTCCACAAGAAATTGAAACTAGGCTCTGATACCAAGCTGACAGGACCCGCCCCGAATTTCCCGAAACCCGAGACGAACCCTGCGGAGACCCCGGCATCACACCCACGCCGGGTTCACTCCTTAAAACTATGTCCTCTTTTACCAGAGAGGATTTAGGGCACGAGACTTTCTGCCAAAATTTCGGCAGAGTCTCCCCTGTAAATTGAACATTCACCAAAATTTCCACCTGCAAAGAACGCATTTTATAACCCCCACCAGCAGCACGCACAATATAATCTCATGCAATTTACATAAATGGCCTCCAGCCTTCAAATGATTCTAGCAGAACTACTCACACTGCTTTTAAAGTAACTCCATGCATATAAACAATTCCAAATCTATCTATGCACACCTTCACTCACTCAGTCCACCGGACAAACCTCAATTCAACCAAGTTTCGGGACCAACCACGAGGTCCGCATCATACTCGATAAAACCACCTAAGTGGTGTATAGGTCGTGGCTGCACCTAGGCGCTATCCCAGGCTGCCTACGTACCCTACTAAGGGATCAAGCCACACGTAGCTCTTTCCTATCAATCCTGGCTCCTGATATCAATTAAACCATTACATCCATATAAATTCATACATTCTCGGGTTTATCCATCACAACACACCCAACATAATCACATAGCTCCCACTCATACGTCGGGACGCACCCGGCCACGTACGGGGTCTGTCAACACGCCGGCTAACCCAAAGACGCGTGCGACCTCACACTGGGCCTGGCTACATTCTCACCAGCCATCATACCATCATAACTCCCACTCATACGTCGGGACGCACCCGGCCACGTACGGGGTCTGTCAACACGCCGGCTAACCCAAAGACGCGTGCGACCTCACACTGGGCCTGGCTACATTCTCACCAGCCCTCATACAACCATATCTCCCACTCATACGTCGGGACGCACCCAGCCACGTACGGGGTCTGTCAACACGCCGGCTAACCCAAAGACGCGTGCGACCTCACACTGGGCCTGGCTACATTCTCACCAGCCCTCACATAACCATAACTCCCACTCATACGTCGGGACGCACCCAGCCACGTACGGGGTCTGTCAACACGCCGGCTAACCCAAAGACGCGTGCGACCTCACACTGGGCCTGGCTACATTCTCACCAGCCCTCACATAACCATAACTCCCACTCATACGTCGGGACGCACCCGGCCACGTACGGGGCCTGTCAACACGCCGGCTAACCCAAAGACGCGTGCGACCTCACACTGGGCCTGGCTACATTCTCACCAGCCCTTATACCATCATGTCACCCACTCATACGTCGGGACGTACCCGGCCACGTACGGGGCCTGTCAACACGCCGGCTAACCCAAAGACGCGTGCGACCTCACACTGGGCCTGGCTACATTCTCACCAGCCCTTATACCATCATATCACCCACTCATACGTCGGGACGTACCCGGCCACGTACGGGGCCTGTCAACACGCCGGCTAACCCAAAGACGCGTGCGACCTCACACTGGGCCTGGCTACATTCTCACCAGCCCTTATACCATCATATCACCCACTCATACGTCGGGACGTACCCGGCCACGTACGGGGCCTGTCAACACGCCGGCTAACCCAAAGACGCGTGCGACCTCACACTATCACTTGGGCCTGGCTACATTCTCACCAGCCATCTTACCATCATAACTCCCACTCATACGTCGGGACGCACCCGGCCACGTACGGGGCCTGTCAACACGCCGGCTAACCCAAAGACGCGTGCGACCTCACACTGGGCCTGGCTACATTCTCACCAGCCCTTATACCATCATATCACCCACTCATACGTCGGGACGTACCCGGCCACGTACGGGGCCTGTCAACACGCCGGCTAACCCAAAGACGCGTGCGACCTCACACTGGGCCTGGCTACATTCTCACCAGCCCTTATACCATCATATCACCCACTCATACGTCGGGACGTACCCGGCCACGTACGGGGCCTGTCAACACGCCGGCTAACCCAAAGACGCGTGCGACCTCACACTGGGCCTGGCTACATTCTCACCAGCCCTTATACCATCATATCTCCCACTCATACGTCGGGACGTACCCGGCCACGTACGGGGCCTGTCAACACGCCGGCTAACCCAAAGACGCGTGCGACCTCACACTGGGCCTGGCTACATTCTCACCAGCCATCTTACCATCATAACTCCCACTCATACGTCGGGACGCACCCGGCCACGTACGGGGCCTGTCAACACGCCGGCTAACCCAAAGACGCGTGCGACCTCACACTGGGCCTGGCTACATTCTCACCAGCCCTTATACCATCATATCACCCACTCATACGTCGGGACGTACCCGGCCACGTACGGGGCCTGTCAACACGCCGGCTAACCCAAATACGCGTGCGACCTCACACTGGGCCTGGCTACATTCTCACCAGCCCTTATACCATCATATCACCCACTCATACGTCGGGACGTACCCGGCCACGTACGGGGCCTGTCAACACGCCGGCTAACCCAAAGACGCGTGCGACCTCACACTGGGCCTGGCTACATTCTCACCAGCCATCATACCATCATATCTCCCACTCATACGTCGGGACGTACCCGGCCACGTACGGGGTCTGTCAACACGCCGGCTAACCCAAAGACGCGTGCGACCTCACACTGGGCCTGGCTACATTCTCACCAGCCCTCATACCATCATATTATGGGGGGTACGTGGAGTAGTGCGTATAGCACTGTAAACTAACATTCAATCTCCTTATATATCATTATACATCCACACAATCAATTAAATATATCATACAATAACATCAACCAATAAAACATTCCATAAACTCCCACAATATCCATTTAACTCAACAACGCTCAAGACCTGTCACTAAGGTCATCCTAACCCTCAAGGAAAGGTAAGACTATCTCGGGAGTCTCACGGTCAACCTAGGGTCAAACGGGCCTGCGGGGCCCACAACCTCCAAATTCAGATCTGACAGTTCCTATAGGTTCTACCAGGTCTAGGACACACGTCCTGCAAGTCTGGTCCAGATCGAACGGTCGGATCGCTCACGACCGCAGGATCGGATGGTTACTAAAACCCTAACCCCAGGGTTGGCATTTCCGGAGTATCCGGGACTCCGTTTTACGATCCGTGGAATCCTACACGATCCCGGTAATACCTAGATCAACATATTATAACTTCAGGACCATCCAACGGTCCAAACCTGGCGAACCCGGAAAATACGCGATATGCGATATCCGTTCGGGACTCTAACGATATCCAAAATGAGATCCGAGCACGCCTACGCGCTCATGACAACCTGAGGATCCCATTGGGACAAAAATGCCCCTCAGCTACAGTGCCCACGCGCCGCCACACGCGCCGGCAGCGCGTGGGTGTCCAAAGCGATACCCATCGCCGGAAAACTTCCAAATCGTGAGCCCAGACTCCTACCCTAGGTAATACACCTAATTTGGAGTCACTTTTGTTCTTGGACGTACCCCAAAAACTGACCGGAAGTGGCCGGAATCTCATCCCGAAATCCGGCCGAACCCTAACTCGAAAATCAGATAATCTAGACTCAAAATCGATGCAATCCTACCCAACCATCAGCTAGATCATGCAGAAGGGATGAATTTCCATACCTTGATCGCCAAAAATGGCGGCCGGACGACGGAGAACGAAGCCGGCGAATTTTCTGTCAAAACCGGAGCTTTTCTCCTCGTTTTCCGGCGAAACCACGGCGGCTGGCGACGGGACCTGGCCGGGGTAGGAAGAGGACGGCGGCCCGGTCATTTTGGTACCGGCCCCGTCAACTTTGGTGGCCGGACGAGAGCACGGCCGGCCAAAACGTGGCCGGCCACAGTGGCTGTCGCGAAAACCAGAGGAGAGAGAGAGACGCGCGGGAGAAAGAGAGAGAGTGTGTGAGAGACGGGGGCAATTCCGTCTTTTAACCAAAAATCCCACTTCAAAATATTTACGATTATGCCACTGAGCTCCATTTGATCATATCTCTCTCGTTACAACTCCGATTCGAGCCCACTACGTGTCTACGGACTCATCTCACCGTGCTCTACGCAACGGTACAACCGGAATTCCCAAAGTCCTTCCGGATAAGAAAATGACTAAAATACCCCTATCCCACGGGTAATTTCTCAATTCCACTTAAATTAATTAAAACAGGGGATAAATTTGGAGTCGGGGTGTTACATGAGTGCATAAACTGACTTACTACACTTACTGCATACGCAATGTCAGGACGTGTATGAGCTAAATAAATTAATTTCCCCACAAGCCGTTGATAGCGCTCCTTATCAGTAGGAACTTGATCGGGATATAACCCCAACTTGTGATTTTGTTCACTAGGAGTATCAATTGGTTTACAATCCAACATTCCAATTTCTGCAAGTAAATCCAAAACATACTTCCTTTGAGACAAGAAAATACCATGCTTAGACCTGGCTACTTCAATCCCGAGAAAGTACTTCAAGTCACCTAATGATTTCATCTCAAATTCGGACTCCAGATATTTCTGGAGACTCTGTATTTCTGCCTGATCATCTCCAGTTACAATCATATTATCAACATAAATTATTAAAGCTATCAATTTACCTTTGTGACCTTCAGAAACAAGGTATGATCTGAATTACTTTGTACATAACCAGACTTCCTCATAGATGCAGCAAACCTCCCAAACCAAGCTCTTGGAGACTGCTTTAATCCATATAAGGATTTCCGTAGTTTGCACACCATACCCTCCTTAGAGGTTACAGGGATACCCGGCGAAGGATCCATGTATATTTCTTCCTTGAGGTCACCATGGAGGAATGCATTTTTTACATCAAATTGTAACATAGGCCAATCATGATTAGTAGCCAAGGACAAGAGTACACGTACAGTATTGAGCTTTGCTACTGGAGCAAAGGTCTCCGTGTAATCCACTCCATAGGTCTTAGTATAACCTTTTGCTACCAATCTTGCTTTGTAATGGTCAATGGAATCATCAGCCTTGTGCTTCAGAGTAAACACTCATCTGCACCCAACTGTTTTTTTTCCTTTTGGTAAAAGAACAAGCTCCCAAGTGGCATTCTTGTTTAAGGCTTCCATCTCAACATGCATTGCATCTACCCATTTTGGATTTGATAGAGCATCTTGCAACTTAGTTGACACACATACACTAGATAATTGACACAAATATGATGCATATGACTTAAACAGACGATGAGTTAACACATAATGGTTAATAGAATATTTAGATTTGACATGTATATGAGGGGAATATTGCACTTTAGGTTTACCACGAGTAGTGCGTGGGGGTAATGGATAAGTAAACACATCATTAGAAAGTACCTCATCATCATCACGAGTTGATTGGGATGGTGCCAAGGCAGAGGGGGATCTTATATCGATCTCATCTTCACAGGAGTCACAAATATCACTATCACATTCTTCTGGCAAATGGCAAATCTCATCAAGGAATTCAACAAGTGACCGGTCGTCACCTTCTGGGCAACCGGTCGATTTTGCACAGATTGCTAGGCGACCAATCTCATCCTCTGGGCGACCGGTCGTTTCCACGCAGTCATCACGCTTCGTGCTGTGCGACCGGTCGTCATCCTCTACGCGACCGGTCGATTTTTCACAGATTGCTTGGCGACCGGTCGTTAGCACTCCATCAGAGATTCCTTCAGATGCCTCTATACATCTAAGATTTTCCATTCTGAAATTCTTCAATTCACTCTCCCTCTCCCCCTGAATTGGAGATGAGGAAGAGACATAATACAGTACTTCTTCATGAAAGGTGACATCTAAAGTAACATGTACCTTCTGTGAAGGAGGGTGGTAGCACTTGTAATTCTTCTGAGTGGTAGAATAGCCAATGAAGACGCAGCAGAGAGCACATGGGTCAAGTTTACTCTGTTGATGGGAGTAGACATGAACATAAGCAATGCACCCAAACACCTTCGGAGGTAGCTTAGAGACCGAAACCGGGGGAGTATGGGCACATAATACATCAAGCAGAGTCTTGAAATCCAGAACCTAACTAGAAGTACGATTAATCAAATAGGCAGCGGCCAAAACACCATATCCCCAAAGATGGTGGGGAACAGACATATCCAACATAAGGGAGCGAGCAACTTCAAGTAACTGACGATTCTTACGTTCAAACACACCATTCTTTTGAGGAGTGAATGGAGTGGTAGTTTGATGAATGATACCTTGATCATGGAAGAATTGGGTCAAGATATGATTGACATATTCACCTCCGTTATCAGTTCGAAATACTTTAACACTTGCATGAAACTGAGTAGACACCATAGCACAAAAAACAGGAAGAATAGAGGCAACATCATGTTTATGCTTTGATAGGATTTTTAGTACCTGCGCAAACAGGGTTAAAATCACTGAAAATACTTGCAAGAATACAAGGTAATTGTAGTATAAATGCTCATGCAAGGTCGTTGTCCCCAAAGATTGTTTGACTAATTTGTAATTAAACTAACTCTTAGTTAATAACTAAAATAGATTTTATCAAAGATTTGAAATTTATGAATTTGTAAAGATTAAACTAACAGTAAAAGAAATCTGAAAGTTGGGAAATAATAACAGCAAAGAAGAAAAACGATTTATTCTTAAAGACTAACAATTTAGAGAACACTAGGGTTTAGCCAACACCGTTGCAATCCTATGCAATTCTATCAATTACTTATGAATTTCCACATATATGCTTTGAAGGTTAGGTTTTCCTAATACATATTTTCCTTGTGATGTTCAAGCGAAAACGTATATCTAACATGCAATCCGTCTGTGATGTTCAGATCAAATATAAACATGCAAGACTCATTAAGTTTTGTGAAAACCCTTTGAAAAACCATGCAACCCTTAAGAGCGTGATGTTTGCCTTAAGTGAACTTACAATTACTAATCACAAGAAGCCCTCCTCAATTTCAGGGTGATGTTCCAACAGAAATTGCATCAAATTACTTGTCTACATATCCTAATGGTGATCAGTCATTAAAATAGATAGATAGTTTTAAACACAGTGATTAATAATTCAAAGCAAACATGCAACCATTCATAAGCAAATTAATAAAACTACATATTCATGCTAGGCTTACGGCCTTGCCCTAGCAAAAGGAATTAGTTACACATAATCATAATTGAAATCCAAGAAAATATCATTCGAATGAGTAAGAATGAAAACACCTGAAAGTAGCGAAAATCCAAAACCCTAGCAATTGCTCCCAAAGCCAAAAAGAAGTTCTAAAAGGAGCTGCCTAAATTGCTGTGAAAAGGAGCTTAAATACCTCCTAAAACCTAGCTACCCAATCCCCACAAGGAAACTAAGTTAAAGTAAAATAAGACTAGGAAATAAAGTCCAAATTGGATTAGGAGAATCTGCCCATAATCTGCCCAGCCACGTTTTAGTCTCAAATCTCCCCCAAATCTGGCCCAAGATAGCTCGTTTTAAAGATAAAAATATTCCGAACACTTCTCCAGAAGGCCACGAACCCATCCGAGGTCATCTTGGGCTCCAAAATCGCAATAAAAGCCCAAAACGTCACTATTCCAGCATAGCGCACTGCTCCTTCATTTATTCGCCAGGAAATCATCGCTTGGTGGAAAAGTCTGATATTTTGATACGATCAAGATAAGTGACTCACGTACGTCCTCCAACTGGAATTACTCCAAAATTCGTCCATTTGATTATGTTTTGCTCCAGAGGAAGTCGAAAGTCCTATATTGGAAATATAATTCAAAGTATCAAAATTCTTCTAACATATTAACCAAAATATACTAAGAATGAGGTTAAATATATAATATAAAATCGACTCATCATGCTTCATCAAATATATCCATGTTAAGCGAGTGCAGTCATCAATGAACATGACAAACCAACGGAAACCATGAGAAGTCACACGGGCAAGGCCCCATACATCAGAATGTACTAACTCAAAAGGCAATGCAGCTTTATTATTACCTAAGGGAAAATAGTATAATGGCTCTTGGCCATTACACAAATCTCGCATTTGAAGCTAGACTCATCACACGAACTAAATAATGAAGGAAACAAATGCTTAAGATAACCAAATGACAGATGTCCTAAGCGACGATGCCACAGCCAAAGTTGTTGCTTGTCTTTGACACTGCCACCCTAGACTTTATTAGCGACACACCCACGAACTACTGCAGCTAGTAACTGTGATACAACCCCCCCCCCTATCCGTTTACCATGCTCAATCTTCTCGTGAGTCTTGAGATCCTGGAAAAAACAATTGGTGGAATATAAAGTAGCAGAAGCGTTAAGTGTATCAAGTAAACGCCCAACAAACAACAAATTGCAACGAATATTTGGAACCAAAAGGGCATGGGACAGAGGTAAAGAAGGAGTGAGGTGGATGGTACCTTCACCGATAACTCAAGAAGGTAAACCATTAGCACTAGTAATATAGGGGTCACGAGGGTTACGAGACAACTCATCAAACATATTATTACTATAATTCATATGATCAGAAGCACCAGTGTCAATTATCCAAGTATTAGAACCCATACCTGGCATGGTATCGAAAGCACATAGATTTGCAGACGGGGCCAGAGGACGGGTCTCATCTTGAGTCATAATGTAGATGGCTTTGGGACCATACATACGAGCTTTGTAGTCAGCAAACCAATCGGGATAACCATACTCCTTAAAACACTTCTCAAAGTAGTGATTCTCATTACAATGATGACATTTAGGAGGACTGTCAAGAGAGTTAGGGGTAAAGCCAGCAGGACACGACCCAGCAGAAGGAGAAAATTTTCTGGATGAGGGGCGACTGGTCGCGTCGTGCTGTAAGTGCCGGTCGTTGACGTGCTAGGTCAACTTTGAGGGCCATTGAACCTCCTCCAAGCATAGCGGACTGACGAGTGTCTTCCTCCATGACCATGGCATAGGCTTCGAGAGAGGGCGGAACATGACTAAGAGCAAGGATACGGCTACGAACACCATCATATGGTGGATCAAGTCCTCCAAGAAAATCATAAACTCGATCGGGTTCAAGTTCTTTCAGACGACGAGCCCCATCATCGGCACAACTATATTCATGTGAACGCAGACAATCAATCTCCTGCCATATAGCATGAAGTTTTTCATAGAACACTTTGACAGATTCACCATTTTGACACGTCAGGATGGACTGCCGTCGGAGTTGAAACATACGAGAACTATTCTGAGTCACAGTATAGGTCTTCCAGGCGGCCTCCCATATATCATAAGCAGTAGCACCATGTTCAAACAAGGCACGAACTGGCTTAGTCATGGAATTGAGAAGCCATGACTGCACCAGGCAATTATTTTCTTCCCATTCGGCATAGGCAACAGAATCTGAAGACGAAGCAGGCTTATTTCCATTTATCCAACTTGCCATTCGACGACTAGTAATTGTAATACGCGCACCATGAGACCAATAGGCATAATTGGAGCCATCCAATTTGTCAGAAGTAATCGAGGTAGAGTAATCACGCGAGGGATGTTCCTTCTTTGTTGCAAACGCACTAGCACTCACCACGATTTTGGAATCATCACCCATGATAGTAGCCCAAAAAAACACAACACGAAGTAGATATGACAAACACAGCACAGGCATGGACACAAGAACCCTAAAAGAAATTAGGGCACACAGTAGAACACGAGCAGGCACAACACACACAGAGGTTACCAGAAAGTCGACTCTAATGCCAAGTCAAACAATATGGGTAGAATATTTTCAGATGTATTTCATTCTCCGAAAGGTGGTATTTATAATACAATGTTACAAACCCTAATAGGGTTATACTAGGAAATAAGAAAAGTCCTAATTACATAATATCTATACAAAAAGGAAATAAATAAAATCCTAATATAATAAGAAAGAAATGTCCTAATATGACTAGGATATCTTGCCAACAAGCTACACACCTATGACTTGAGACTTGGAAAACCCAAAATTTTGTTGTCCTGAAGAACTGCAGAGAAATAGACAATCGTACTGGACTGTTTCTAGGAAAAATTATTACTTTTGTATCTTTATGTGGGGCCTGAGAAAGAGGAAGATAATGGAATTATTAGAGAATTATCAAGGCTGACTGATTTAGACATTAATTTACTCATTGTATGACTGCTTTGTGAGCAAGTCATTTTCTGGCGAGTTGTTTCTATTTTTTTGTTTTTTTTGTTTTTTGTTTTTTGTTTTAATACAAACGGAGGGGAGAATTAATATTAGGACCTGAGGTGCAGGTGTAATGTTATTGTCACTTGAGCTACTAGTCCTTTGCATTTTACCCTATAATCATGGGCAGCTTTCATCCTCCCTTTTAATCTCATCATCACTTCCATTCTCACTCTCATTTTTCTCTATACTCAAGCACAAAGAATAAAATCTAAAAACTAAAATTGAAATAGTTATCAAACAACCCTAAACTTATAATAATTGATAATAGTGGGATAATATCGTTAAGAGTGTTTTTAATTTTTATTTTCAAATTTGTTAAGTATTCAATGAACTACTAGTACCTCATACTAATTATTTTATTAAATTTGATTGTAGCAGCATTTTTGTTTAAGTTGGGGGTAATTTAAGGAATTTTAAATGTTATGTACACTTGTGAAATAAGCTATTTGCGAGTGTGCAAATAGACTTTTTTCTTTTCGGCATATGTTGATTTGCTTATTTCAGCCTCTCTACAAGTTTCATTTCCCAATTTTAAGGCTGAGACTGACTGAACTAATTGAGACATTCATTTGGCATGTTTACTAATCCTTAATCGGGTTAAGATGAAATGAATTGAGGAGAAGTTGAAATCCGGATTTCTATTAAAGTTGTTTACTAAACTATGTGGAATCGGGGTATGAATAGTATCGATTCCTTATAAGTTGTTTACTAAATTCTCATGAATCGGAAGCGAAACTAGTTTGATTAATAAAATGCATTTGTTGTAAATAAATTATTGGGTTAAAGTGGATGGCAAATTGTGAATTTTAAAATTTGTGTGAGGATTTAATGTGTAAAAAGATGAATTAATGATGGGCTAGTTTTCTAGGAATTAGGATACCACCTCCCACCTAAGAGTCCAATTTACTCCTGATTTTGTGTGAGCCCCCACTTACTTTTCCATTCTTATATGTAAAGTAAACATGGGAGTAATCTATATTAGAAATTCAACTCCTTATTTTGATTTCCATTACGGATTAGTAAACATGTCACGAGATTATATAAAACCGTGTGGCAGAAATTGTGGGGTACATGTGAGCTTCATTAAAAAGTTGTTCACTTGTCACAAATAACAAAACAATATCAAAAGCATGTTCATTCACTATGTTTCTCCACTAATATAACTTGAGCATTCCCACCTAGGACCTCCTTTGCTCAAGAGACCACCTCTTTTCACTCCTTTGACTTTAGTTCTCTCTCATTCCATAAGAAAATTTGCTGTCATCTGAATGGTGCAAATTGCATTATATAAAAAATACTTTGATAGTAAATATTATTTGAATATTCAATGAGATTCAAGTAGCCGTAATTATTATGGTGGTTTATAAGTTTAATATTGGTTTGTATTATTGTTTTCCTTATAAAATTGGATCTACCTTTTGGGTTGCACATATGTGACCTGACTGAAGTCCTGACGGGTTCACAATTGCCAGTGTCCTTGCAGCTTGGCCTCATCATGGTGCATTTGATCATGGGATATGGGTGCATGGGTACCTGAGGAGAAGTTGCCTGGAGAGTGATGTGGTCATTGTGCGGATGTGTGGACAAAGCATATGAGGTCGTTCAGGAAATTCCCAACAAGGATACCTTGGAAGCATGCCAATGAAGCCAGATGCATTTGTTTTGGGTGCAGTGCTCGAACGCTGTCAAATACATGGAAAGGTCGAGTTAGGAGAAAGGTCGAGTTATGACAATTATTATCAAAGAACAAAAAACAAAGTCCACAAAATAATTTTAAACAATTAATTACTATTTACCAAGTAATTTACGAAATTAGTAAAATCTTTAAATATTCACTAAAGAAATAATAATTAAAGTAATTTTAAAAAAAAAGAAGCTAAGTTATTACTTAATTACATATATTAAATTAAAGAAGTTGGCTAAAAAAACAAAAGTAAATAAACTATTTTTATAAATTTAAAATTTAAAAATAAAATAAATAAATAAATAAAAACAACTTCTCCCAATGAAATTTCATCAGCACAGGTCTGTGCCTGCAATATTTGCCAGATTGGACCTCTCCAGACGAAATTCACCTCTGCCGACGAAATTTCGTCGGGAGAAAACTAATCCGGCAAACATTTGGCAACATAAACATGTGGCGATGAAATTACGTCGGGAGATTTTTTTTTTGAAATATATAGATATATATATAAACATAGTATCTTTAGGTCAATAATATTTTTATAAAAAAATTTCTTTTCAGTAATTAAGTAATATCTTAGCCTGATTTAATTACTTTAATTAGTATCTACGTTCTAACTATTATTTCTCTAGTGAATAATTAATATTAAATATTTCAATTAACATCATAAATGATATTACTTGATAAATAGTATTTAGTTTTAAAATAATTTAAATAAAATTATTATATACTACTTATTCACTAAGTAAGTAATAATTAAAACATAAGTAATACTTAAAGTAATTAAAAAAGAGAAATTTAGATTATGGTATTTATAGAGTATAACCTTGCGGCTGTACTTTTACATTTTTTTATTTGTAGTGTATAGCCGCGCGGCTATATGCTTTAAATAAATAAATTCGGCCGCTAGGCCCTCTGCCGGTCCTTTTAAATAAAACAAACAAAATAAATAAATAGTATAGCCTATCAACTATACTCGTTAAATATCTAATGAGCTCCTTTTTTTCTTTTCTTTTTTTTAATTTTTTCTCCCTGATTTTCATTTATCGATAAGACTAGTCTAAAACATTATCCATTACGTTTAGGCCATTAACAAGGTATAGCTATTGTCCCCTTTTGATTTTTTACTTTTCCAGAGTTATTACCCGTATAAAGAATTTAGCATTTTCCCATTTAATACTCGTATTATACACATATGTATGTATTTTTCAATAATACTTTAGTTTTTCGTATATGTCTTAAAGACTCGTACAAAGAATTTAGCATTTTTTTCATTTAATATCATTTATTTAATTTTTCAATATATATTATTTTTATTCAATAATATCCGAAAACTATGTGTATAATACCTGAATTTTGTGTGTATAATTGAAAATTTTGTAAAACACAAGCGTATTAAACATGAAAAATACATACATACGTGTACAATATGAGTATTAAACATGAAAATACTAAATTCTTTATATGAGTAATAGCCTTGAAAAAGCAAAAACTCAAAAGGGGACAACTGAGACTCGGATAATGGCCTAATATTAATGGATAATGCTCTAAACTATCCTTATCCATAAACAAAAATAGGGGAAAAATAATTTTTTTTGAAAAAGATCATAGTTTCTTATGTAAAGAGTATAGCCGCTTGGCTATACTATTTATAATATTAATAATATTTTTTTAAAACAACCTATAAAATGTCAAGAACTACCTCAAAACATTGGATGAATGACATGATAAATTATGTATAAAAATGAACCCAACATCAACCAGACGGGGGTGCCAAAAGATGTAATGTTTCCCTAATTAAATGACATTACGAATTGGAGATGCCTTTAGCAATTTATTGATGAGTAATCAGCCAACACTACATTCTAGCTTCTTTAACAGATCTCAGGTCAAGGTAGTAAATTAGTACTAATACAAAACCAAATCTATACTTTCAAGTCCTTGTGACATTAATTGCTAGACTAGCCTTTAACCCGTTAAGCTTCCTAGACTGTTGAGCAATGACAGTGGCAGTGGTAGGGCTCTGCTCCAAAACGACTTCGTATCCATCTCTGAAAGTGTCCATATTTGGAGCCATGAGCTGCCAGAAAAGCCCACCTACACATGAGCCCCCTCTGCTGGCACTGGTGTAAATGTCACTGTATATTTTTCCAAAGTAGGCGTCCCTCTTTTGTAGGACATAGCCCGGCAATTTATAAGACTTGCCGAACTCAGCCACGAGCAGTGGTTTCTTCACCACTGTGTTGCAGTCTTGAATGTGTGCTTGCACCCATCTGTCCACAAAACCAGCTTGAGCCTCTTCGCTTTCTCCTGATAACCTATCCATCATCATGTTCTCATATATTAGATCTTGTTAAAATAATATTACTATGGAGCTTAATTATAATTCATGTTGTGAAAAAGCCGTAGACAGGGTTGAGAATAGAGTGGGACCCAAAGCTCAATTGGCCACATACTTTATTTGCAGTTGTGAAAAATTAATGGCAACACCATATGTAAAGAACACAATGACATAATCTTATTCGCGACAATCCATTTGGGTCACGGATGAATAGTGGCATTTGCTTTCATTGGCCTCAGATCATCTGTGACCCTTTTTGATGTTTTCTAGTAGTATACTTGGTTTATATAGGACAAATTGATGAATAACTATATAGAGGGGATAGAGATTTTGATCGTAATATGTGGCTTTTCGTGACCAACCCATTTTGTTGGTCACGGATATATTGTGACTTTTGCTGTCATTAGCCTCAGATCATCCGTAACCTTTTTTGAGGTTTTCTAGTAATGTGCTTGGAATATATACGACAAATTAATGAATACATATATACATAGCTAAGGAGAAAGAGATTTTGAACGTACCATTGATCAGCATAGATATGTACAGTGGCAAAATCGATTTGGGGAAGCAAGTTGGTGGCTATGAAATCAGAGCCAAACTCTAGGTTACCAGGGTTGTACTGCTTCTTGTCCGGCGTCGTTTCCCCATAAAATCCTTCAAGCCCTATTTCTAGTAAATGCTCACTATCAACCGACTTAACGTGTGCGGCCATTTCTGTCACCCATTGCTGCACAATAATAATTTACCAAAATAAGTTTAAAATAATTTTTTTTAAAGGAAAACCAAATAATATTTTAAGAGAGATACCTGAAGAAGGGCTCCAGAGACGTCAGCTTGGCACCGAGGTTCATTTATTAGTTCCCAAGCAAAGATGGTTGGATCATCTTTGTAGGCCACCCTTGTTATGGAGTTTATTCTTGTGAGCACAGTCTGCGTAGGAAGGATTGTTAGATAAATCTGTTTTACATTCTATGTAATTCAATATTTTACATCCTCTCTAGTCTCTATGCATCTTTGCCATATATGTGGCATGGAAAAATGAGAAAATTAATGTATGAAATAAATCTCAAAGTCCACATGTTATTGTAAAATATATAAAAATAACAAATAAAACTCGCGAAGTTTGTAGAGAATATTTGGATGACATCGAATAGTCTCGCTTATATTTTCTTGTGATATCGGAATAGACTATTTATGACTAAATATTATCATTTAGAAGAAGGAGAAGTTGTAACAAGGTTTCCTGGCAGGTCCAACATTCTCACATACTCGTATACAAAATACACATGGGGAAAAGTAAATCTATGCAACATTAATGACTAAATCTGAAGTTCAAAGCTAAGCAAAACGAGGGAAACGGATGGGAGACCCTTCTGAAGTGGTATTTAATAATTTATCTAATACAGGAAACGGATTGAAAAAAGAAAACATTTAACTGATAACTGAAAAGATAAGCAAAGAATTAGTGGCTTAATTAATTAATGAGAATAAATTAAATAGGAATTAATTAAGCACCCACCTTAATATGATCCTTATAGTATCCCTTGATGACAGCGTTTGAATAGAAGTCGTCATCGCTGCTGATGGGTTGGCCACGGTCTCTTGCCCACTGCACATATTGCTTTCTACCCCCAAAGTCGCTAAAGTTGTTCACAAAGCTTAGTATCACATGTACTCCGAATTTTTTAGCCTCTGATATCACAAAATCTAATCCCTACGTCAAAAGAAATTAAAAATTATTTAATCATATAAGATCGACCATAACCCAAAATTCACGAATATCTTTAACAACAAGAAAAGGGGGGAAATTTTAATTAATAAGTCATACTTTCCGGGGCCATAAAAAAAGGTTAATGCTGGTATTGATTGAGTGAAATTTAGGACCCGTTTGGAATTGTTTCTATATGAAGTATTTTTTCTGGAAGCGCTTTTAATTGTTCCCGTCTCAATCATGCACCTTATTTTTGAATGACTACTAATATGAACCATACATATACTCAAATTAAATTTCAAATTTCGTGAAATCAATAATTCCAATTAACCATTTTTTACAGCAACATAACATGTGAAACTGTATGAAAGTACATAGCTACATATAGGAGTACCTTGAATGTGTCCTCGTTATAGGAGCCAGGAGAAGGCTGAAGGGGTCTGTCTGTGCCGCTGCCATCATTGAAGGCCCAAGTTCTAGCAACATTCATGCCATACCTGGAGGCTTGTTGGAATGCAGAAGTGACCTTGGCTCTTGAAGATGGGTCAGATGCCATGTACATCATCCAATATGCATTGAAACCATTTATGTAAAACGGTCTCCCATTCATAACAAAACGGGTTCCTTCTGTTCGAGCAAAAGCACCACCATTAGAGGCATGATTGGCTTCACCTTTACAATCTCCATGTTGAATGAAGATGAACACCAAAAGAGTTGACAAAACAAACAAACCCTTCCCCGACATGGTTGTTGAGTGCTAATTTTATGCCTTAAATTAACTTTTCTATTTAGTAGCTAGGGCTAAGCTAGTATATATAGTGATATAATGGATAATTAGGAATAAAAAGAAATTAAGAAAGAAGAATTGGGAAAGCCTTTTGTAGTTCATGTATACATTAATAATACCATATCTTAGTTACTGGATTGTGCTCCACAACAGATATCTTACCATAATTAAGAGATTTGGTTGGCTTCATTTTAAAAATATATACCATAAACAGATCTCTTTTGGGATTCACCTAGCTTCCTTAATAAGAAAAAAAACACCACAACTAAGCACTCTCTAGATTTCCTTTTAAAGAGATATGATATTAATGAGAAATTCAGGACTTGTTATTATCAATTCAAACGTGTTATACCAACTTGTCTTTAGTCTAGTGGTATTTTTCTCCATTTAGTTGGAGAGGACGATATATATTTGTGATAAGTTTAATACATAATTAGTTGTGACTATCCTTATTGTGGGCGTATTGACCTGTTATAAATTGTTGTGAGTGTAGGAAAAAAAAACTAGATTCTATAAAGACAAGTCAAGATAAAGTAATAAATAAAAAGATAGTTGACAAAAAAAATAGTTTTGTTAAGAAATTCTCATTCAAACACGATAAATCATTACTCATACGCAAGTTTAATTAATTTTTGGGGTTTGTTACATACATGTCATGAACATGTATGTAACAACCAATGAACAATTTGACCATTAAACAGTCCAACAATGAGAAAAAATTATGGAAGCCCAATAGTTTCAAAGTCCAGCCAATACCTCTGGCCTAATCTGTTAGACTTTTTGCATTTAATATTTGCTTAAGATAAATAATGACAAAATTTGTCGTCAGGAGCCACCAGTGACTGATTAAGTTGCGTAATTTTACTAATTTAATAGACAGGACGCATTGATGTTGAGCAAGTCGAGAGACAGTCATTTGTACTGAAAGGCAAGATGACGTATTCAAATACTCAAGTTGTGTTGATATTGAGTATATTAAGATGGATGGACGATAATATACTAAATTCACACATAACACGAATATTAGGACTCGAACCCATAACCTTTTTATAAGGCAGGCCAAACCACTACACTAGTGTGTCATATACACAAACATCTTTGTAAAAGAATAAAATCTATTTTGTACTATATTTACTTATTGACCACATCTCTCGTAGAAATAAAATTATTGTGAATCTTACCTCTATCGTGGTAAATGTGTGTCGTTCTCTATTGTTAAAACTCATAAGCAACCATAGAAAAAAGGTTAAATAGAAACGTACGCAACGTGAAATGTTCTATGCAAGGGAAATTTGTTGGTTGTAGTGTGGCCCTATACAAGGGACTTGATCCTTAATCTTAAGAGAAATTACCAAATCTTTAAACTGATACCATAAACAGATCTCTTACTGGGACTCGCCTAGCTTCTTTAATAATAATAAAAAAAACCACGTGTTATAAAAAAAATTTAAAAAAACACACAACAACTAAGCACTATATGGATTTCCTTTTAAAGAGATATCATATTAATGAGAAATTCATGACTTGTTATTATCAATTCACACGTGTTATACCAACTAGTCTTTGGTCTAATGGTAATTTTTTACATTCGGTTGGAGATGGTGATATATATTGTGATGAGTTTAAATCTAATTAGTTGTGACTAGCCTTATTGTGAGCGTATTGGCCCATTGTAAATTATCGTGAGTGTAAGAAAAATAAACCAAATTCTATAGAGACAAGTCAAAATAAAGTAATAAATAAAAAGACAATTGACAAACAAATAGTTTTGTTAAGAAATTCTCATTCAAACACGATAAATCGTTACTCATACGCAAGTTTAATTAATTTTTGGGGTTTGTTACATACATGTTTGACCATTAAACAGTCCAAGAATGAGAAAAAATTATGGAAGCCCAATAGTTTGAAAGTCCAGCCCATACCTCTGGCCTAATCTGTTATACTTTTTGCATTTAATATTTGCTCAAGATAAATAATGACAAAATTTCTCGTAACAGGCGCCACCGTATAAGTGACTGATAAGTTGTATAATTGTAAACAGGACGCATTGATGTTGAGCTAGTCGAGAGAGAGAGAGTAAATTATGCTATGTTTAGATGACTGTTAGAGAAGATTATGCTACGTTTACATCCATTTGTACTGAAAGGAGAAGATTACGTATTCAAATACTCAAGTGTGGTTGATATTAAGTACATTAAAATGGGTGATAATATTGAGATGGACAATAATATATTAAATTAACATAATATGAATGCTAGAACTATAACCCAGGACCTTTGGCGGATCCAGAATTTGGAAGTTTAGTAGGTGAAACTTACATGTTGCATGAACGCGAGTATGGGTACACCAATACATAAAATTTTCAAAAACTAGGTTACGTGTATGGCACCGATACGATGATTAAAATAATATAAATAAATAAAATTGATATTGCATCTATCATGTTATAATCATCTATCAAATAAATAACTAAAGATATGAATCAAATGCATTTTGATTAAAAAACAATTAATACATGTAAAAACAATTAGCATCTATTGCTAAAAAAAAACAAGAGTGTACAAGAAATTGGGCTCGGGTGTACAAAAAAATTGGGTGTCCAAAAATGTTACTCAATTCAAAATAATTATAGAATCCAATATCATTCATATCTAATCACGTGACTTTCTGCCACTTTTATACCTCTCTCTCTCTCTCTCTCTCTCTCTCTCTCTCTCTCTCTCTCTTACCTCGGCTTATTGATGCCGTCTCTCTCTTTTCTATTTTTTTCTTCTTCTTCCCATTCTCTTTTTCTTGGTCTTGTTGCTTCATATCTACCTATTTTTATTTTTTGACAATTTTTGGGTAGGTAGCTGCCTAACCCAAAACATGGCTAAATCTGCTAATTTCATAGGGAATTCAAACCACTACACTAGTGGGCCTATGCACAAACATGTTTGTAAAAGAATAAAAATCCATTTTGTACTAGATAACTAACATCTCTCGTACATGTAAGACTATTGTGAATCTTACCACTATGAGATAAGAGGCCAGCAATTTTGTAGACGATTGTGGTAAATGTGTGTCATTCCCTATTGTAAAAACTCTTAAACAACCATGGAAAAAAGGTTAAATAGAACGTATGTAATGTGAAATGTTATATGGAAGGGAAATTTGTTGGTTGCAGTGTGGCCCTATATAAGGGACTTGATCCTTAAGAAAAATTATCAAATTTTTGAACTGATAGAAATATCAAAGCTACAACCACATGCTAATTCTAAATCTCTTTCAATGCAACAACAGGTACCATCAGAACTATCCCATCACAATAAGCCAGTAATTTTAACATGTCTCTTTAGCTTGTAACTTCCCAACATCAATGGAGACAGCAAAACCTGCGTATCAGTTTCCTAAATTACACTCCAAGACCTATTGAGCCATACAGAACAGCCAGTTGGGTGGAAATTTTTAAAGCCTTTAATAATTCGGGGAAATATCTGAGAAATTTGTGGAAACAGAGAATTCTTGTAATATTGGGAAGAGTGTTACCTTCAAGAATCAACATGAGCATGGTGAAGCAAACCTCGAGCATTATGCAGAAGAGCATTGGCCTCCTCATTTGAGGCATCAAGGATGCGCAATTCTCTGATCTCTTCCTGCCATTTCTCAATTTGTTCCTTGTGCACCCTGCACCCACAAATTTCAATCATCGAAAACCCAAATAATAAATAACTCTCGTCTCTAGCTAGATTATTTGGATACAAGTAATATTGAAGGAGGGAGTTTGAAAACAAGACTTCGAGAGAAAGGTAATTACAAAAGCAACAGAAAAACAAAATAAGAGCAATTAATAATAATATTACCCGATATATATTACAAAAGCAACAGAAAAACAAAATAAAATAAAATTACTCAAAAACATATACTATAACTTTGCAACTAACATAATCATCCGCTCTTCGAATTCATCACCAATCTTCTGAAACATGGCCTTCCCTGATCCCAGAAGTTCAGATACCTATGTAAAACTCCAATTATAATAGGAACAAAAAAAATAAAAAGGAAATTGTAAATACAATCAAACAAGGATTTTTTTTTCTTTTTCATTTTTTGTTTCATTTACACTGAAATGGAACAGTAAATTACCAGCTGAGTGAACCGTTCGATCTTTTCAAGAATATGAGCGACTGCAAGCTCCACCTCCTCAGATCCAGCAACGAACGTCTCCAACTCTTCATTCTGTGCCTTTTCTGAGTCTGAGATCGCTCCTTCTTCTTCCTCCTGGTAATTTCAACAATCAGATTTCAGACACTAACACAACGGCAGAAGAAGCACAAGGCACCGTTTGGAGATCGCAGAATGCGTTATATTTACATCTGGTTTCATGCGTTTTCTTCTAGATTCACTGTCTTTGTTCTCCATTTGGATCGATCGTCGACGAAGCTAATTAAGCGATCAGCCAAACAGAACCTTGCGATTACAAAAACAGTACGAAATTAAGCATAAATCTTCATTAACATTAATAATCTTACTATTAAGCATAACGTAATAAGCATCCGTGCCTTCGATCTCAATCTGATTGACTGCGATGAAGACGACGATTCAAATCTTCGTCTTCGTCTTGTCTTCTCCAACTTTCAGACGCGCGGGAACTCCGTTTCTACAGACCAAATTTTGCGAAGGAGCGTGTTATTTATTGGGTCCAAGCAACATTTTGGTTCGGCTTGATCTTTATTTTTAATTTCAAAATAGGCCCAACTGGGTAGGCCCACCTTGGCTCATTGGGCCGTGTCTGATCTGCTGAAACTTCTAAATACCAATTTTTCTCATAAAATGTTGATTAGTGCCAGCAACATAAAGATTTTCTTTTTAAAAAATATATTTTTAACCAATAAAGGATTACAAAATAAATTTGTAACTCAAATGGTTAAGAATAACATCCGAAGTCCTGTGAATCCCCTTTTTTCCAATATTGTTTGTATCAAAACAAAAAATAGTTCCTTACAAATCAATATGTGCGGATAAATCATAGTGATAAAATTTGACATTTAGGAATTTGTATCACCCAAGTTTAGATAAAAGAATTGAAAATTACATAGAATTTTATAATAACAGAATTTAGATTTCCATAATTTCAATTTCTGACAATTGAAGATTTCAGTGTCTGGATTTATGTATGTCAAATTTTATAAATGATAGACTTTGTAAATTGCACTATAGAAATTGTGAAATGGGGCATATTTTGGTGGAAATTAAACTCAAAAATTTGATGCTATAATTTTTACGTTTTTTTGTGTGTCATTTAATAAAGGCTTAATTATTGATATGCTCCCTATGCTTCACCAAAAATCTCACTTTGCCCCATGTACTTCAAACTGAGTCAATATGCTCCTTGTGCTTTATTTTTGTGTACCCCGTTATCCCATTCGGTCAGTTTGGTTAGTAAATCTATTCACTTGCTTACGTGGCATGAGTATTTTATATATTTTAGCTATTAAAAAATTACAAAATTTCAAAATTCAAATTAAAATTTTAAAAACTGTTTATAAAATATTTTAATAATTAGAAAGTTCTTTTAAAAAAAATATTAAAGCCCCTAGCACCCGAATACCCCAACCACCACAACAACCCAACCCTTCCCCACCACCACAACCCGCCGCCCCCAACCTATGGCCACCAATCCACCATTTTCAAATATGATATCCCCACCCAGGTGATGCACCCACCCCAAAACTATTAATAACAATCAATCCCAACTCACCTAGCCACTTTCAACCCCCAACCATACTCACCCCGAGCTAACACTCCAAACCCACACCCAACCTCACAAATCCAATCTACCCCAAGCCGTAGCCATCCCAACAAATTATCCAAACGCCAAAACCTCAAGGCGCAAGAACTTCTCTTATCTTCTCCAACTGGGTATGATTTGATTTCATGCTTGTCATTTTCACATATTCTCTGCGTAGCCATGAAGGTTATGCGATTGGAGTTTATAAACAGTAAACTCATATTGAAGAACTTTATTTTGTTTTTTAGTTTTTAACCCTAGCGGAGGAGAAATCAGGGTGGCAAGATGGGGAGGGAATGGTAAAGGATGGGTTAGGGGTGGTTGTTGGCGATGGGGAAGGGTTGGGTTGTGGTGGTGGGGGGCTATTTGGTTATGGGGGATTTATTTTTTCCCTATTTTCTAATTTATTTTATTATTAAAATGTTTTAAAATTGTTTAAAAATTTTGAGAATTTTTAATAGTTAAAATTACTAAAATACCCATGCTACATCAGCAAGTTAACGATTTTACTGACCAAACTAAAGGAATGAGGTAACGGGGGACGCAAAAATAAAGCATGAGAGACATATTGATAATTAAGCCTTTAATAAATTCTGACCTTAAGTTACAAAGGAATTGTCAGAATATTTGGCTCATATGAAAAACAAAAAATACTTTGGCAACATACTCCAACGGATAAAAAATAAAAAAAATTGATAATGAATTGCCACACAAGAAAAAGAAAATAATAATTGGATTGGGGAGGTAAACTGAAGCGCTCTATTTCTCGGTTTCATATGCAACCAACTACGGCGGTGCCCGCTTCTTCTTCTTCTTCTTCTTCTTCATTCCTGTTCTGGAAATTTATCTCTTAGAGGCTCTGCCTGAACCCTAAACCCTAAGACTTCCATCTCTCTTCCTCTTTGTGAATGCCTCTGGGTCGAAATTCCTTATCTTGCTTTCAGTCCTGTTGTGGGCGTGAGGTCTAATTGTATTTCTCTAATGGGTGTCAATGAAAACTGAGAAGGGTGGTCCATACACGAAAAGAGATGTTCGAAGGAGTTGTTAATCAGGTCATTTCGGGTTTTCTCGGTCGCTACTTCAGAGATATTCAGAGACACCAGCTCAAGTTCACCCTATGGGAAGGTATAATTTTTACACAGAGACATAAACCCAATTTTTTTATATTCAGTATTTAATTTTGGGTTTTATGATATTGGTTTCATGTCTGTTACTGAGAATTGATTGAATTATGCAGCTGTTCTATGATTTGCACACTTGAAAATACATGGGCCACACACACAAAACACAAAATGTTTGGCAAAAAATTGGTCATAATATAGCATAGGTAAGGAATCTTAATTAATTGATATGTGAATTGAATTTCATATGTTATCATGCAGGGGCACTGTTCTTGGAAAATCTAGAGCTAAGTCTTGAAGCCTTTGATTATCTCCAGTTGCCTTTTGCTCTAAAGCAAGGTATTTTTGACCTCCTCTTCTTACTATCGTCGTTCTTAAAAGTTGTTCCAAGTTGGACATCTGTAAATTTTTTTATTTGTTAATTTATATACGAATGAACCAGTGTTTTGGGGTGTATACATTATGTACTGATGTAAGTAAACTTGTATCTTATTGACCCAGTAATTTGGGGTTTCATGTCCTTGGTTTAGTATTGTTCAGCAATGCTAATTGGCGATCTTTTGAACTTCAAATGGATTCAACACACTGAAAAATGTCACTTGTTCCTGCGCATGTATTTTTTCGTGATTCCAATAATTATTTTTTCTTCTAAGTTTAACTACATTGTGTCTTTGTTACACTTAGAAAATCAGATATGCACGGTCGAGATTTTTATTTTTATGAGAAGCCTATGTGTTTATTTTACATTATTTTTGTAGAGTCAATGTTTGGGACCAATGACCATACATTTAAGGTTTGTACGGCTGCTAACATAATTCTTTAGGATAATTTGGTGGAATAATTCTGTGAGATTGAGATTAATGGGATAACTAATAGAATAATATTGAATTTGTGCTGAAACAATTAACAGGGTTTATTTGGCGCTGTAGTCTTATGTCTAAGAACATGGCACAATAGTTCTATAAGTACATTAGGAATATTATTGAAAGCAGTAGGTGTAACTTTCTACCTATGGTTTTATTTAATTTTTTGTTTTATCTTTTGGGATGGATGGATATCTTATGTCTCATGCTGTACAAACCGGATGTGGTGTTCTCGTACCTACTGCATGATAACTTCTTAACTGGTGGATTAGGAGAAAGATAGTGTGATTTTTGTGGCATTATTGTCTATATGTGTTCACAGTTATTCTTGTTAACTACATCTAATCATGGATTTCATTGTTAGGGCGGGTTGGAAAGCTAAGCATCAAAATTCCTTGGAAAAAGCTTGGTTGGGACCCCATCGAAATTGTTTTAGAAAATGTCTTTCTTTCTGCGTCCCAACGGGATGATCAAGAGGTAATTTTCACTCTCAGATATGTTTGTTTGAAGAAAATGTACTTGGATTTGACAAGCAGAATTCATTGGTATATGTAGTGAAATGAAAATAAATCATAAGACTTAACTGCAACCGTGAAAAATAGAAAGAAATCTGTTTTACAGATAATCTAAAGGTATCCAATATCATATAAATTTCAGAAAGGAGAAAAATTGAGAGAGTATCTGGAAATTTTTATTTATTAAAATCGTTGTTGTTAAGTTACTTTCTCTGGTGTAGTGGAGTTTGGATGAAGTTGAAAGACGAGAGCTGGCTGGAAAAAAGGCCAAACTTGCTGCAGCAGAGCTGGCAAAACTATCAAAACGTGTTTGTGGTAAGCTTCTGAAATACCATTTTCAATAATGTTAAATTTTTGAAAATGTAGTTATTCTATGGTAATACTTCGATAATTATAAGGGCTGCGGTGACATTTTAAAAAGAGTTAAGTCAACTCATAATTTTAGGCAAACAAATCATCAAATGAGGTACCACTATATTATTGTTATTTTAAACGTTTGAGTGAAGTCTGGTTGGGCTTTTGTTTCCTCTTGGTTATCATTTTTTTCATATACGAAGTAATTGTTCTGTTTACTACCAAAAAAGTTCATATTGTGTTAAACCAATTAGGTGATAAGCTATCACCATATCTTGTCTGTACTCATGGAACGTGGCCTACAGTTCATGGGCAGCTCCTCACTGTCTAGGACGGATTGCAATGATCTCGTTCTTGTCAAAATAGTTCTCTTAGTATTCATGGAAGTTCTAGATTTTTAAGGGGAGAGGTTCTTTACAAATTAAAGTTTGGCAACTACTTGAAACTATGTGTGCTTATATGTTTCTTTTTTGGGCAGAAAATCAGGCTGGGCTTATATCATATATTTCTGCAAAGGTGACATTACCTTCTGAACTTCAAATTTTGGTTGATTTCTGTGATGCATTTTGTTCTTTATTATTCCATCTCAATACTTTAAAAGAAAAAAAGTTAATTGTCTAATTTGGTACTCTTGAAGACATCTTACGATCACTATTTTTGGGATTTGTGATCATTACCGGATGGCACTGATGTTTATTCCTTTCCCCTCCTAGGCTCTTGACAGCATCCAAGTGTCAATCAAAGATTTTCATATCTTGTACCATGACAAGCTGAGTGACTCGGTAAATTTTCTCCATTTTAGTCCTTGTTAATATATAAATATATATATTTTTTAAAATTTGGTGTAGCTAGTTGTTCTGTATTCAATTCATGGTTTTTGTCGTAATATTTTTTGTTTATTATATTTCCTATTAAATAGAAGTTATTTATTATACTAATAATTTTTATTATTTGTAATTTAATATTATTATAAAAGTTAAAAGAACTATTGAAAAACCTACTTTATATTGTTGTTTGCTAAAATGTGGATGTTATTTGGTATTTGAAGTTACTTTCTCGTCTTCGCTACTTTTTTCTTAATTAACAATGCATAAATTTCCAGTCTTGCTTATTGTTTTCCAGGCGTATACTGTGTTCGGCTTAAAGTTGTCCAGCTTGAGGACAATGAAGCAAAATCCTTTTGGGTAATTCACAGTTTCTTCTGGTATACTGGTAGTTTCGACTGTTTTTCTTAAAGTTATTCTTTTTCGTGTTTACATTGGTCCAAACTCAGGAGAGTTTTTGAATAGGTGTATGGATTGTTCAAGTGTGTTTTTTTGTCTATATTTCGGCCTACATTGTTTTCAACTGCAGTAATGTTAGCTAGAATCTGTTAACTTGTATGGACGAATGTTAGCATGCAACTGGTTTATACAATGCTTGGATTTTTTGTCAGTTAACAGTTTCAGGAAAATAAAAAAATCTGATTTGATTGTTTGTGAATCACCATATTTGTCTTCCTTGGTTTGATGAAACTGCTGAAACTGCAGAACTCTTAATAGAAAACGAAATACTGGAATAAGATGAAAAGTGTACAACAATTAGTAGGACACAAACATCTCACAATCATGGGAAACTGTAATCACATAATTAAATATGAAACCATAGAATCAACTCCTGAAAAAATCCACTTAAACAGCAGTTCTCCCAATAAAAAAGTATTGCACTAAGGGGAAGTTCTCTCAAATGTTTGGATAGAGAAGCCATATTGAGGCTAAGAACGTAATTAATTCCAGAAAAGAGCCAAAGCACTTGCCTCAGGGTAATCACTTTGTATTTAGCCCCTAACCCAAGAAGTTCCCAGAAGCAGCCCATAACAGCTTCTAGGGCGCACCCACGACAGACCAAACACATTGAGCACACCCCAGCCCCTGAACCCGGGATCTGACTAGTAAGCCTACAAAGCAGAAAATGTGGCCCCAGATCTGAAAAGTAATAAGACTTTTGTGTATTTCCGAACTAAGAATAAGGTTGACAATAGCAGTATTTGACCATGGAAACTTCGATTGATAGTGCGAAGTTGGTGTGCTTGTTGGCATAGGTGGTGGTAGTGAACTGTGGAGCTATGAGGTTGTGGTTTGGGTTATGGGGGTCATCACGGCCTATGGATGTGGGTTGGTTGTGACGCTAATGGTGTTGAATGGGTGAGACTAAGGGTGGGTTAGTGTTCTGGTTGAGTGACTTATATTGCTTATTTCTATGATGTTTGTACTTCTTCTTTTTTTTGTTCCCTTGTTTCTTTAAATTATTTGTTTTATGTTTGTGGGTATGCTACTTGCATACATTTGCTGCAGTGACTTACCTGCCACTGCCTTTGTCTTGATTTTGTTTCGTTTGTTCTCTTGTTGAGTACTCTTCTTTGCCCTTCATAAACAAAATATATGGCTGTGGATTGTGGACCTTTTATGTTCTTATGGCATGTGCCAAATGGCTTTTAATTTTATCAATCTCTAATGTCTCAGGTCATCAGGTGGACAAGGGGGCCAAGATAATAAATTTGTGGACATTACGGGTTTGGAATTTTATTGTGGCACATTTCATGGAGCAATGGAATTGATGACTATGAAAAATGGTGGTGACTCTGAATTGTGGCACAATACAAGATCGGACAGAGAAAGATATGACTCTATATTGTCACCTTGTGATGTTTCCCTGTTACTTTCGGTACGAGACTCAATTTTTTTTCTCTTGTTTCTTTTGTTGTAGTTGTATATCATGAGCTCTCTCTCTCTCTCTCTCCCCCTTGTTTTTTTTTTACAAAGGTTTGTTTATGATTTTTCACAGGATTTCAATTATTTTGTATCAACTTGTCTTTGGAATATGAGATTGCTCATTGAAGAGTCTCTTTGTTTTTTACCCCATCTGAAATGCATCTTTATCAACTACCAAATTTTTAAAACCTGATGTTGGGTTTCTTTTTACTTGTCTTATTGTATGTAACTGCTAATCTGATGTTGTAGCTGGTATAGTTGGTTGGTGTAAGCAGGGTTAGTTTCTTAAGTTCTCAGGACATCTCGTCGACTGTGTGATACATTTCATTTATTTATGAAATTTTGTTTCCTATAAAAATAATAATATAGAATTACAGATGAAACTCCATGCCACTAATTGTTCTCAGTCCGTTGATAGTCTGACCAATACAATGTGTTTCTTAAGACAAGAACAAGAAAAGAATACAAAGAACACAACATCAAGCAAAAAAAAGCCACCATAAGAGAGGGAGGAACTTGCTCTGACACCATGTTAAGAAAAAGAAAGAAGAGAGAGGGAAACAACCATATTATTAAATGGTTGCATCTTGCAAAGAATGATAACTAATGCATAAAATCCAAGCCCTTTAAATAAGGCAACCTTGAAACACTAAAGATGCTAAAAATACAAAAATACTCTTGACAATATAAATATTTTTTATTAGTAAGTTAAATATTCTCATGGTTAGTAAGTTATTTTTTATTGTATTGTCCAGGTATATGCATATATATATGTGTGTGTGTCTTCATGGCAGAGAGTCCCTTCTAATTGTTCAAAATGAAGTTGTACTTTGTATAACAGATGTTAATAATTGTTGAATTTTTTCACTTGTATACGGAGGTTGAGTGACGTACTTCAATGCAGGTCAACAGATCAGGACAGCTTGATAACAATAATCCACAGTACTCTATCAATGCTGAGATAACTGGCTTGGTTGGTAAATTGTCCTTAAGGTGTCTGTAAATTAAGTTTAATCGGTGTACTATCTTCTCATATATTTTCATGATGAGCATGTCAGGTGATGTCTTTAAATGAGGTTCAGTTGCAACAGATTTTAATTCTGTGGGATTACCTATGCACATCTGAATTGAGAAATAAGTAAGTTTTTTTGTCCATACTTCTTTTAGCCTCTACATTTGTAACCACTGTGTTGGTAAACTAAAAATTTGTTCCACTTCTTTGTCAATAAGACTCTAGTATATAGAGGGGCTTCAAGAAGATGTTGCCTAGAGCCTTCTGGGAAATTTTCTTGTAAATCCAATTTAAATAAGTTGAGACATATACCAGGCAGTTCGCCTTTTCTTCCTTTCAGCTTATTTTGGAAATCAAAGGTTCCACCAAGGTTAAGGTTTTTTCTTAGTTTATGCCCACATCAATGTATCTTATGTTAAAGATCAGGGGAGAGTGTGAATCATGTTTTCGTATCTTTCCCATTTAGCTGGAAGTTATGGTGTTCTTTATTTAATGAGATTAATTAAGGGCAACCTACTTCTGTCTTTTTTTCAATATTTTTTCTTTTATCTTAGTTATCAAGTTTGTAAAAGTTGGCGATATTCCAAAAAAGGAGAATGTGCTTTGCGTAAGACTTTAATATTTTTCTGCATAGCTGGCTCACTGTCGTGATACTACTGTTATTTCTGTTGTTGTAAAGTTTATATTCAGCTGAGGCATTCCTGGTTGAAACTTGAAACTCGCAAAAATAAGTAACATCTGAAGCTCAAGTGGGTTTAAATTGATCTCTGGTGATTGAATTGTGAAGGTATTGGCGGTATCGTCCATGGTGTAGTCTGTTATCCAAAAAAATGAAGGGCTGGCAAATACTGTGGTGGCGTTATGCGCAAGAATCTATCCTATCAGATGTTCGTAAGAGATTAAGAAAATCCTCGTGGAGATACTTTGGACAGAGACTGTAAGTCTGTTTCTGTTTATACTTTACCCTCTGTCATACACATTGAGGCATTACAAGTAATTTTTTTTAAAAAATTTAAATGTTAACATTGCAATATTTATTCCTGATTGCAGAAGTTCTTGCCGGAAGTATGTTAACCTATATAAAACTAAGCTGGATTTTCTTCGCCATTATCAGGTGATTGTTGTACTTGTTTACTGTCTTCGTCTGGGTGTTTAGTGTCATTTCTGCATGAAAATCCATATTATATATGGTCTGATAATATTGCGCAGGGCTCTTAATGCACATGCAAATGTGTGCATGTATCTAGTTATTTCTGGTATGATTGTTTATCATAAATGTTTTCTAGTTACACTAAATAGTAAGAGCAGTGGATACAACATCATATTTGTTGAAAACACTTGTGTTCTCTAGTTCTGCTTTTGGCAGAAATATATTCAAGGCTCCTCTCTTTACCCCCACTATGGTGCGAGAAATAAAAATGGCCTTTGTTGAGGAATCCAGCCCAATCAAGCCAGAAGAACAATTACGTTAGAGGCCTTTATAGTTGAATTTAACTTCAAGAGGGCCTTAGAGGTCAATGATAATTCGAATCTTTCTCAAGAGAGAAATTTTATTCAATGCAGACAAGTCTAAGGCCCTCTTGAAGTTAAATTCAACTATAAAGGCCTCTAAGTAATTGTTCTTTGGCTTGATTGGGCTGGATTCCTCAAAAAAGGCCATTTTTTTTCTCTCAACCATATAGTGGGGGTGAGGAGAAAGAGCCTTGAATATATTATCTGTTCCAAAAGCAAACTAAGAACACAGTGGTTTCACAAATGATGATGTTGTATCCACTCTCTTACTAATTTAGTGGTCGAGAAAACCAGTTATGGATACACAATTAACCACGGAAATTACTAGAATAATGCACATTGCCCTGTGCATTAAGGCCCTGCGCGATTGATTCGACCATATATAATATGATTTTCATGCAGATGGACCTAACACCAACGAAGACAGACCAAGTACAACAATCACCTGATAATGGCGAGAAAATCCGCTTAGTTTTATATAGTACTCTTCCGGCAAGAACTTCTGCAATCATGAATAAATTATGCAATGTACTTTTAATTTTTTAAAAAATATTACTTGTATGCCTCATGTGTATGACATAGGGTAAGTATAACAGAAACAGACTTACAGTCTCTTGTCCAAAGTATCCTCCCGTGGAATTTTTCTTAATCTATTACGACATCGGATAGGATAGAGTCTGCGCTACGCCACCCCAAGTAATTTATGCCAGCCCTTCCTTTTTTTTTGGATAACAGACTAACCCATGACTACATACCGCCAAGTCACCTTTCACATTTCAATCACCAGACGATCAATTTACAACCACTTTGGCTTCAGACATGTTACTTATTTTTGCGAAGTTTCCAAGTTTCAACGTCAGAAATGCCATCAGCTGAATATAAACTTTACAACACAGAATAACAGTAGTATCACGAGTGAGCCAGCTATGCAGAAAATCTTATAAGTCTTAAAACAACCAAGCACATTTCTCCTTTATTTGGAATATCGCCACTTTTAACAAACCTTGTAACTCCGATAAAAGACAAAAAATATTGAAAAAAAGACAGAAGTAGGTTGCCCTTACTTAATCTTCATAATCAAGACACCATAACCTTCTCGCTATAATGGGAAGAGACGAAACATGATTCACACTCTCCCCTGCTCTTTACATAAGATACAATTGATGGGGCATAAACCTAAGAAAAAACCCTTAACCTTGGTGGAACCTTTGATTTCCAAATAAGCTGAAAGGAAGAAAAGGCGAACTGCCTGGTATTGTCTCACCTTATTTAAATTGGATTTACAGAAATTTCCCCAGAAGGCTCTAGGCAACATCTTCTTGAAGCCCCTCTATAATCTAGAGTCCTTATTGCAAAGAAGTGGAACAATTTTATAGTTTACCACACAGTGGTTACAAATGTAGAGGCTAAAGAAGTATGGACAAAAACTTACTTATTTTCTCAATTCAGATTTGCATAGGTAATCCCACAGAATTAAATCGTTGCAACTGAACCTCAATTTAAAGACATCACCTGACATGCTCATCATGAAAATATATGAGAAATAGTACACACCGTTAAACTTATTTACGACACCTTAAGGAACAATTTACCAACCAAGCCAGTTTATCTCAGCTTGATAGAGTACCGTGGATTATTGTTATCAGCTGTCCTGATCTGTTGACCTGCATTGAAGTAACGTCACTCAACTCCGTATCAAGTGAAAAAATTCAACATATAACATTTATTAACATCTGTTATAACAGGTACAACTTCATTTTGAACAACATTAGAAGGGCCTCTCTGCCAAGACACACCACCTATATATATTGCATATACCTGGACACTTACAATAAAATAACTTACCTAAACCCATGAGAATATTTAACTTACAATAAAAAGATTTATATTGTCAGAGTATAAATTTTTGTATTATTTGAGCATCGTGTGGGTGCAAGGGGTTGTGGGGAAAATTATATTATATATTTAAAAGGATATATTAATTTCTTTTGCAGATGCACCATCTAATAATATGGTGTTTCCACTCCTCTTTACCCTTTTTTTGCTTGATGTTTTTTCTTTGTATCTTTTCCTGTTGTTCCTGCTTAATAAACACTGGTAGTGTCAGAACTAATCACGGACGACATTTAATTATTTTTATAGAGCAAATTCATACATAAATGAATGCTCACACAGTCGACAGATGTCCGGTAACTTAAGAACTAACCCGGCGTTAACCCCAACCAACTATACGGGCAGGCTACAACTCAGTTAGGTGCATTACATACACATTAGACAGGAAAAGAACCCAAAGGGAGAAACAGATAGAGGGATGTGTACGTTACAGCAGGGTGTCTAATTTGGTAGTTGGAAAATGGCATTTCCAGATGGGTAAAAAACAAGAGACTCTTCACAATGAGGCATCGCAGAGGCCAGCAGTGAGACAAGAAGGGAGCACGGAAAAAGCAGAAAAACGGGGGGGGGGGGGGTCTGTCGAGAAAAAATAAACGAAGGGACATCAGGAGGGGAGCAGAACTCGCGCCCCGACAGCTCCTAACAACTATGAGCAGGCGTCGCGAGGGTAGCGCACCTGACAGCTGCTAGCCAACATACTCTAGGAAAGCAAGAAAAACAAAAGGGAGCTCGGACCAGGCGAGCAGGATGCGGTCTGTAGCGCAGTTCACAAGTAGAGTAAGTGACAAATGGCTATAGCGTATGCAGTGAGCGGTGGGTGCGGGCGACGGCCAGCGGGTTGAGTAGGTGCCACAGGCAAGGCACCACTGCAGGTTCAAGCACCGTTTCGTTGTCGGCAGGGCTCCAGCGAATGGGCCCACTAAAATGCCCCAGGGGCCCAGGGTGATCCTGGGGGCCCGGGCCACCGGGGAACCGAGACGGGGAGGAGAGAAAGGGAAAACATGTGGGCCCATGCCTAACATAAAGTCCAATACACCCATATATGTTGTTAGGAAGGCAAGAGAAGCACGGGGGCAAAACAAACGAACAAATCAAGAACGGCAGTGGGCAGGTACGGATCCATGCGTCGAATGTGCAGTACCATACGCTACAACCTAAGAGCACCGTGGAAAAAAGGGGGAAACACAAATCTTTAAATAAGAAACAAGGGAACAAAAAAAGAAGAAGTACAATAACATCATAGATATAAGCCATATAGTCACTCAAGCCAAAAACGAACCCACCCCTAGTCGCCTTCAACACCATGGAGGGGGGCTCAACAATGCCATCTGCGGCGGGGAGAGAGGGGCAAAAAAAAGGACCGAAAAAAAAACCGGAGACAGCGGACCGGCGAAGCCACATCCTATGCCCCGGGCCGTGATGACAGCCCCATAACCCAAGCCACACCTCATAGCTCCACAGTTCACCTACCACCGCCTATGCCAAACGAAGGCACAAGAGCCAACTTCGCATCTATTCTCGAAGTTTCGCATGGTGCGACAAAAATACTGCTATTGTCAACCTTGTCTTAGTTCGGAAATACCAAAGCTCTTAATTAGCTTTTTCAGATGCTGGGGCCACATTTTCTGCTTTGTAGGCTTACTGGTAGTCAGATCCTGGTTCAGGGCTGGGTGTGTTTCTGCAATGTAGTTTTTGTGCTGGCTAGGGTGGGTGCTCTCCGACGTAAGTCATGTTATGGATGCTTCGGAACTGTGCTGGTTTGGTGTAAGGTGGAGAATAAATCGCTAAATGATTACTCCTGAGGCAAGTGTCTTTGGCTCTGTTTTCACTGGAATTAATGTGTGTGAGATAGTATTTGACGGCTTGTCTCGAGCTCAATATGGCTTCTCTATTAAAGAGGGAGCGGGTCGGAGGGGAGAAGATGAGAGGTGTGCGCAAAAAACATGTGGTGCGAACTTTTATGGCGGGGGATAAGTAAAAAAACTAAAAAAAAAAAAAATAAAATTAGGGGGGGGAGGTGGGCAGGGTGGGGAGCAGATACATGTTGGAGAGTGAGCACTGGCCCCTTTAGTGGGCATACTTGTTTTTTATTGGAGAATGGTGCTGTTGAAGTGGTTTTCTCAGAGTTGATTCTAGTGTTTCATATTTAATTATGTGATTACAGTTGGTGTCGCACATGAAAATCGGGAGATGGGGAGATGTTTGTTCCTACTAATTTTTTGGTGTGTGGTGTCCAAACTTTTCATCTTAATGAGCCGCGGAGTGGCGGGGGCTATGTAAGAGTTGGCAGGTCAGTGACAGTTGTTCATCAGCGCACAGGTGTAAGGAAATTGCCCCACAAGAGGGTGGATGATGGTGGTGCGTGGCAACAATCCAAATCAGTAGGGGGTGTAGGTTCCATGAAACGGGGAACGGACAAAAAACCAAGGGCCATGGGGAGAAAACCAGGGCGTGCCGGAAACAGTGGGGCGGCTGGTCATGGGGGGACAAGGGAACAGTATTGCGTGGGGGTAGCTAACGTATCTGTGGCAGTTGTGGAGGCCAAACATATGTAGCCAAATATAGGGACAAAAAACACACTTGAACAATCTACACTATTTCAAAACTCTCCTGAGTTTGGACAATGTAAAACACAAAGCATAACTTTAGAGAAAAACAGCTAAACTACCAGTCATAGCGGCAGACAGAAACTGTGAATTAGCCATGCAAAAGGATTTTGATCTTGCATTCTTTCAGGCTGGACTAACTTTAATGCCGCACACATACATACCCCCTGGAACAATCCGAGACTGGAAATTTAATGCATTGTTAATTATAGAAAAACGCAGTGCGAAGACGAGAAAGTACCTTCAAATACCAAATAACATCGCACATTTTTAGCAAACTAACACAATATAAAGTAAGGTTTTTCACCTAGTTCTTTTACTTTTGTTATAATAAAGATATACATTATCAAATAATACAAATTATTACGTATAGATAAATAAGCTTCTTTTTTAATGGAATATATAATCGAACGAAAAAGCTATTACGACAACAAACCATGAATTGAATACAGAACAACTAGGCTATGGCGCCAAATTGTGGAAAAAATATAGATATTTATATATCACTAAGGACGAAAATGGAGAAAATTTACGCGAGTCATCGTGCGGCTTGTATGGTACAGATTGAAAATCTTGATTAGAGACACTCTGGATGTCTGTCAAGAGCCTAGGAGGGAAAGGAATAAACATCAGTGGGCCCTCCGTAATGATCAGCATCCCGAAAATAGTGATCGTAACAATTGAATTCTCTCACCACAAATTACGACAAGTGTTTTTGAGTATTGAGAATAATAGAACACAATGCAAATCATCCCAGAAAATCAACCAAATTTAAGTTCGAATGTAATGTCACCTTTGCATAAATATATGATGACAGCCTATTCTTCTCGGCCAAAAAAGAAACATATAAGGCACCACATATTTCAATTAGTTGCCAAACTTTAATTTGTAAAGAACTCTCCCCTTAAAATCTAGAACTTCCATATACTAGAGAACTCTTTTGACAAAAACGAGATCATTGGGGGCATCCTCTAGCCATTTTTGGGATGAGGAGGAACTGCCCACGGATGACCTAGTAGGCCATCGTTTCCATGAGTACACGACAAGATAAGGTGATCGCTTCTTCACTTTTTTTTTTTTTTTTTTTTTTTTTTTTTTTTTTTTTTTTTTTTTTTTTTTTTTTTTTTTTTTTTTTTTTTTTTTTTTTTTTTTTTTTTTTTTTTTTTTTTTTTTTTTTTTTTTTTTTTTTTTTTTTTTTTTTTTTTTTTTTTTTTTTTTTTTTTTTTTTTTTTTTTTTTTTTTTTTTTTTTTTTTTTTTTTTTTTTTTTTTTTTTTTTTTTTTTTTTTTTTTTTTTTTTTTTTTTTTTTTTTTTTTTTTTTTTTTTTTTTTTTTTTTTTTTTTTTTTTTTTTTTTTTTTTTTTTTTTTTTTTTTTTTTTTTTTTTTTTTTTTTTTTTTTTTTTTTTTTTTTTTTTTTTTTTTTTTTTTTTTTTTTTTTTTTTTTTTTTTTTTTTTTTTTTATTTAACAACACAACATACAATGAATGAGCCAGATTTTTTTTTTATGGATATATTTGCGGATAGATTTTAGTTTATTTAGTTGTATTGGGTGGATTTATAGAGAAAAAAGAAAGTATGCGGATTGGTGGTAAAGTGTTAAAGCGGAGGTGAAATATTGACTAAGTATGAAAAATGGTTTTTCGGAAAATCATTTTCTCAAGATAATTTTGGCGGCTTTATTCCTTACACATCAAATAAGAAAACTTGATTTTATGAGATTTTAATATGAAGTATATATTGACTTAATGAGCCATTATTTTAGCCTAAATCATATTTGCACTAAAACCGATTTTTCATATTTTGATTGGGGGGAATTTGATTTTCTAGTATTTTTATTTGAATCCAAATGGGGGGTACTTCCTTATTTACATTGTAACTTAAGTAAATGGAGTAATATAACTAAATAAAAGTAAAAGGACTTCAATTTTTTCGTATTTTTTTCAATTTTATTACAAAATATTGGCTGCCGTTGGATTGGGAGCAAAAATTATGATCGGAGAGCCCATGACATGACACACGACACATGGCACATAATGTTGACGGACACTGTAGCGCTGGCATCACGACGACATCAGCACGGGCCAGCCTGCCCTCGGGCCAGCCCGTTTTGCTGGGTCCCACCATCGCGCCCGGGTCTGCCTCCATTGAGATAAGGGGTAAATAAGTAATTTCATTAAAGCTATAGATCTGCCAGCTGTGTTGGGCCGAAGTTCAAAGAGTTTTAATTCAAAAGTGGGCCAATAATTTTCCAAAAGATTTTGAACCCAATCCAATCCAATCCGGTCTCTGCAGAACTGCTTCGTCTCCAACGCTAGAAACACGAAAACCCATTGGCCTCTCTCTGTCTCTGGCTCTGTTTCTCGGAGAAGAAACATTTAGGGCTTGATTGATCCGAGTTCTTGATTCCTGAACATCCAAAACCGTACCCTAATTCCCAATTCAAATCGCTGTCCAATTATCACAAGCACTTCTGAAGCAAACCCTAATTGAGCCTAAGAACCCCAACAGGCTGGTTTATTAGTCTCGTGTGGAAGACAAAAGGGATTTAAGAGATATGAGCAGAAGCCGAAATGAGTAGGCTTTCATTCAGACCTCGCCCTCTTGATATTCACAAGAAGCTCCCCATTGTCAAGTCTGTTAAGGACTTCGAAGACGATGACACCCCAACTTCTACTCGCAATTCTCAGCTTCTGCGTCTCGCCGCCGATGCCGCCATTGAAACTGAGGTGCCCCAAACCCCCACCAACAAGAAACTCGCTCCTGAAATACCAACTCCTCAGTTTGTTATTGTTGACACTTATGAGCGCGACTATTCTCGCACTTTTGCCCAACCCAATCGTACCTTCGCGCAAGAGGAGGTTTTTCTAACTTCAAACTCATTGCTTACCTCCATTTTCTTCTTCATATTCTGTTGCTGACACCTTGTTTCCATCATTTGCAGCTCGGGCCGAGCTCGGAGAGTTTGTGGAGTATGACCTAGACAATGAGGATGAGGACTGGCTCTACGAGTTCAACAAAGAAAAGAATATTCTTGCTCCTGACAAGTAATCATTTTGCCCATTGTTTTTAGCAAGCAATTAAGGACAGTAGAACTAGCCCCTTTAGTCCTTCATTCTAATTCATTTGATGCATTTAGGCTGTAAGTTGATAAACCCAATCTCAAAAAATTGATGTTGTGGAATATTCTGACGACCAACCATTCAAGCTTGAATTTGCCGCGTACCCCTTTCCAAAAGAAACTGTCTTATGTTTTTAATCTATTTTCTCCAACTTCTGTTGATGGTAAGCTGATCATCCAGGTGTGTGCTTATACATGCAGGCTTGAGAGTATTATTTTAAGTTGGAGGTTTTGGATCATAAGGCTCGAGAAAGAGCAGGAGTTATAACTCCTACACTTGCTTCACCAATCCCTGTACTTCTACAACATGATGTTGCTAGTGAGGTGATGTGCTTTTTTTTGGCTTTTTCCAGATGAACTGACCAGTGCCAATGCTAGTTGTTAATAGTTCTTTTTTGCATTCATTAGCTGTATCGCAATGGTTGTGCCATTCATTTATTTGTGTCAATTTGGTTCTTCTTAGGTCTTACTATATGAGACTAAGGTACATACTTTCATTTTCCTAAACAGAAAAGGTTGCTATTCTCTCTGTTTATGAAGATCCTAAAAGATAATTTCTGGTCATCTTTTATTGAAGATAGAAGTTATCTTTCTCTGTTCATAAGAGATCTATTATGTTTGCATTTTGATGCTTATTTTTCTAGTTTTTGGTCTTGTTGAATCCTTTTATGAAGTTACTAATTTGAAATTTTTTTTCTCTTTGGATGTAGGCTCTCCAACCTCAGTCCCTCAGATATGCTGTTATCCAATCTATATATAATTATTGGAAAGAGAAGGTGTGTAATATACACAAGCTTGAGAGTTTTAGAACCTAATTTGATTACACAATTTCAGGCAGCTAGACTACCCTGATTTGCATGATACTCAGTTGAGTTTCAGGCTAATTTTTTTCTTTAAAAATATTTTTTCATGAATATGTACTCTTTTCCCCCATTTTTGGCAGCGTGAACGATGGCAGAAGCCTATTTTGCGGCGTTTGCAGGTTAGTTTAATTACTTGATTATGTGCTTATATTGTCACTGCCTATATGTGCTTGCAGATCATTTTATTCTTCATCATGATTTCTTGGTTCTCATCTACATTTTTTGTACAGCCTCCTCCGCCGGTTAATGACACCAACCCATACAATGTCTTTAGGCCAAGGGAGAAAACCCACAGACTGCACACAAGAAGGGTAGGTGACAAACGTGTTTGTGTTTTCCTTTTTCCTTGGGAAGCTTTTAGTTAATGGTTTTCTATAAACATATTTGTAAATTTGTTTTTATTGCTTGTCTTGCTTTTAGATGCAAAGAAGGGAAAACAATGTGCAGTCATTTGAAAAGCTTCGTCAGGTTTGTATTGCTTTCAAATTTTCTTGTTCTAGAAATGTTTTTATTTCACAATTTTATATTTGACCATCATAATCACAAGCTTTTCTTTTGGAATTGACTATTCTCAGGTCAGACGCAACCTGGACCAAGCCAAGACCATACTGGAGGCTTTAATCAAGGTGCTTCAATTGAAGTGTTTATAGTTTCCTTGGGTGGCATTATATTCATCTGGGGATGAAATTCTCCTCAATGCTACTGATTGCTTATGTACAAATGTATGCAGAGAGAAGAGAAAAAGAGGGAAGTCATGGAGATTGAAGTTAGTCTTCAAATAATCCAAATGAAGTACAAGGTATGCTTGGGGTATATTATTCTCTTTGGTTGCTTTAACTACAACCATGCTGCGGTAGCTTTCTCTTTAAGATTGACCTTGACAAACCCATTGTACCATTTGACTTTCATCTAAATCTACTTCCTGCATGAACTATTTCACAAGGTTTTATGAACAAGTTTGTTTTATTTATTATAAATAAATTAGATAAAACTGGCAGCTCAATTGTAAGTTTCTCTATTTTCTTCGTTGTCCTTTTACCTCTCCTATTTTAGGGAGGTTGCTACCAGCGTTTGGTATTGTGGTATGTAGCATAGAGATTGTTATTCCTATTTGGAGCACCCTATGCCGCTGTGAAAGAAAAGTAAAAAGAAATTGTGAAGGAAAGGTAAAAAATTAATTTCTTTTTACCTCTAAATATGATATGCCTTCCATGAGGCATATAATGCTGTCCACAGAATCATCTGTGTATGAAGGACTCTTAAGTTAAAATCACATGATTAGTAGTTGTGTAAACTTTTTCATATACATATTTATCATGAAGTTGATATTGGAAAGGTAATTTTGAGGACAGTTGTAGGTAAATTTTCTGGGCCATGTAATACATAATGGTTTAAGATCTGTAACTGATTCATGCATGACCTTTTTGGTTCCTTTGAGTTTCAGCATGAAACTGAGCTCCTGGAAGATAGCTTGGCCCTTCCTGGATTTCCACCTGTATCGTGCAAATTTGGTTCAAGTGAGGATGAATTTGTTGATTCGGATGATGTTGCAAACAGTCGGCCCCGCACGAGACCTTCTGCAATACAGAATCCGCCTTTAACTGACTCCAATATGGTTATGGTTCCTACGGGAACCATGAAGCAAGAGTTTAGGCGGCGGCATGCGCCACAAGGGTGGCTTCATAAAATGGTACTTCAATTGTCTTCTTGTGAATTGGACTACCTATCCGGCTTTACCATTTTCCCCCTTCCTTTCTTATTTCTTCTGTCTACTAGGGAGATATCTCCATAAGTGATTTCTGAAGTTTGTCGCTGTCATGAATTCAATATCTAGAAAGCTACCATGTTAAATGTTAGGGAGTTCTAGCAAAATTAATTTAGAATGTAGGATCCCCTTTGTTTTTCTGTTGTTGTTAGTATATATGAGTGAATCTGAACTGTTGGATGGGATTTATGCAGGATCCCCTTGAACCAGTTTTGTTATTTACAAGACCTCTAGTTCCAGAGAAGTTGGCAGCTGCAGGCATTGTTCCACCATCAGATTCTTCAACGCAAAGTGGAGTACCAACCCCACCTTATAAATTTCGAGGAAGAATTGGCAGAGGAGGCCGATTGGTATTTGATAGATGGAACCCCTTAATGCATACTCCAATCGACTGTGGGAATTCTTTTTATATACCACCTAAACCTCGACCTACAACATACAATTGATTTTCTTGCCTCTCGTGTTTCGTCTTCCAGTCGTGGCAGACAACTCACTGGAAAGAGGTGCAATTAACTATTTGGAAGACATTGAGGAGGGTTCCTGGGGAAACTCTGTGGTTGTGTTAACCTTCTCTTACGCCAGGATATGGGTATCGATGGAAGCCTGCCATTCTTGTAATTTTGACTAGAGATCAAGGGTACTTATGGAAGGTAAGGAGGGTTGATGTGTTGTATTTTCCTTCTGTTAATGCTTGTTAAAATTGTATTCATCTGCCCTGCTCTTCCCCATGTACAAAGCAACTCTAAAATTCTTGAGAGGCAGATCCAATGTCTCCTTTCCCTTTACCAATCTTCTTCGGCAACAGAGTGATGAATGTTTGGCAAAACACCGCCATTAGCAAGAGTCCCCAAAAGCATGGGAACAGAGCTACAAAAACAGTCAATAATCAGTTCAAGTCCTACTAACAGGGATTGTGTGGGAACAAAGTGGAAAAAGAAAGACAGGCTGGGTGGGTGACGGCAAGCAAATGTGAAAGCAATGAACTTTAAATTTACATCAAGCATGCATTTTCAAACACCCATTGTCAAATTCATGTCATTCAGCAAATTTAGAGTAATGTGAAAGCAAAATCCCAAAGGTCAATGAATCTGATAAAGATCAATGCAATCTGTCTGCAATCGCCTTTTTAAACATTACATAACTCGTCACTCAGCACAGCATAACACCAGGAACAAATTTTCACACATAAGAAGTGAAAACCAAGCTGGCACACCATTGTTAGCATGAACTGATACTCTCTGAGCTACTTTACAATTTCGGTGGCCAAAACGACGCTCATCGCACCTCCCTCGAATCTGGGCTCGCTGAACCACTGGATACATTTCTGCAGAGTCGAAGAAATTTATGCCGGCCTGGAAAGCTTGGTCGAGGCCGGAAACGTGTTTTGCTTGCCCAAAGTCATCGTCCCTGCGAAGAACGAATTTATATTTGAGGATTAGAGGGAGAGGCACCGCTATTGCTTCGCTTGAATGGATTTTCTGGGATCAACAATAAAATCATATCCAAGCCACCAATTTCGTAATTAATCTCATAAAATACTTCCCTCCTTCCTAGGAACTCCTACATTCCTGTCAATAACAATGTGGCATGTATGCAGAAATTTATCTTTTTGTGTTTTTTATTAATTATTTTTGCACGTGTGTTAAACCGTAATTTACAGGAATGAGGCAAGCAGTATTCTTAAATCTCCAAATTCATGGATGAGAATCAAAGTGATATGGTATTTGACATTTTATGTGGACTTAACAATTTTACAAATGTTAAATTGCTACATAAGCTGTTAAATTCAAATCAAACATTTTGTATTTAACAAAAAAAAAACCTAGCCTCTAAGAGATAAAGAAAACGAGAGAGAAAGCTTCCCATCGAATCTTCAGTGTTCTTCCATTTTTGGTGGACTATGTCGATGTACTCTTTTTTTGGCAGATCTAGATCTTGCGCGGTTGCTCTTTCAAGTGTTGCGGCTTAATCATGGTAGATCCACTATTCATTGATGTTTTGAGGCCCTAGAGTAACTAGGTGGTGCTCTTTATATCATGCCCCGAAGGACGATTAGCGGTGATCTGTTTTCCTAAACCCTAAAAGGGGGACAGCTGGTGGCAAGCCACGGCCATCCACCCCTTCTGGGACCCGGAGAGGCTATAGGGAATTTCCAACTAAAATTAAATTAGAAGATATTTTATGATTGACAATCTGTGACGAAAAATTGTTTGGTCAACTTTTATTTCATTTACAAGAATGAGGAGTGCAAGAGTTACCTAAGGTGTATCATCATCACCATTCTCAATACTTGACATGTATCTATTAGTATAACAATAGTTAATTCTTTGCTTTGTATTTGTGGAACTATGATTATGACTATGAATATGTGTCAAATATTAAGAATGATGATAATGATACACCTTGTGTTAAAGTAATGAGCAAAATATGCCCGTGGATGAATATAGATCGTTGAAAGCATACAAACATTTTACAAGTTAGCTTGTTAAAGATTTCATGTATATAACAAGACAAATAATATGTAGTTTGTCTTTTTTTCTTTTACACAAAATAGAAGAAATGTAAGAATCAAAATATTGCTAAGAGTGAGTGGTATACTACTTCCTATTTACCACTAGAGTTCTAACAATTCCGATTTGTCTTAAAGTGTTTTGGTCTTAAATAGTAACAATTTATTAGTAAACTGATGTATTTATATGGAGGAAGCCTTTTTTTATATGTACAATGGTTTTAAATATATTAGGGGTATTCTAGGGATATTTAAGGGTGGGCAGAGAGGATCATTATTTCTTAAATTGATTGTGGAGTGATAATATAAGGTGGATAAGTAAATATGACATGTGGGTGGAATCAACATTCTATTTTTGTCACACCATACACATATATGATTATATACTTTCCTTTTCTAAAAACAAGTGGGAGATAGGGGAGTTGAACACAAAAACCTGAGTGACATAATAAAAGGTGACATAATTAAACCAAGCAAAGAACCCTAGCCACGTATGAGGAGGAGACCTCCTCCATTTTCTTATCATTTTTCTCCTCAATTTTTTTTCCTGTTGAGTTGGTTTCTTGTAGTGATTTTCCTTGAGCCATGCTCAAATTTGAGTACTTCATAACCATTTTTATGCTCTTTCTTATATCCATTCATTCTCTCAAAATGCCCCCACTAAGATTTCTCATTTGATCTAAATCTAGTGTTACCACGTTTTTAGAAGATTTTACTGCTATATACTCGAGTGTTTTTGGCCATCTTCGTCCGATAAAGATCTTTATTCGATGTTATGCGAAGTTGGATTATTGAAAACTTTATTTTCCGCAACCCATGTTCCACGTTGATTTCTTGGTTAGATGGGTGAGTTTAATGTTGGCATTACTTTCATGTGGTGCAAGTAGTTCTCATGATTTAGTAATTAGTATTATGAGTTGTTTTAGGATTTTAGTTGTTTTGGATTGTGCGTGTATTGCTTGAGATAAAGCTTAATTTTGCAGATGTGGATATTTTTAGTTGTGTGTGTAGATTTTGTTGTATTGTTGATCATTTTGATTATAAAAAATAAACACATGACCTCGTATACCTAGATGTATACTATTAGCTACTTGAACTACAAACCACTAGTTTATAGTTTTCTCGTAGAGAAAAAAACCCCAAACCCCTATGAAAAATTTGGAGATGGAGAATAAAAAAGAAAAAGAAAGGATAATATATCATTTGTGAAAATGTGGATAAATTCAAGGGTATTTCTGTAAATTTGCGTGCTTGGTTTAATGGTGTGCAGTGTGGACTTGGAAACTCCCATCTTCTCTCTCTTTATCTTTATCTATCTGCGGTCTCTTGTCGTCCCTGTTTGTGTCATTAATTTATTTTCGCCTTCAATTATTTTTGGCTGCTTACTTCTCACTGCGTAGTAAAAATAAAAAATAAAAAAAAAAAAAAAAAAAAAAAAAAAAAAAAAAAAACTCATAAACAAATAAATAAAATAAAAAATCAAATTTAAATTATAATTTGGCAGCAAATTAATCCCAAATTGAGCAATTGAGATTTGAGCCCCAAAACCCAAGCCCGAAAAAATTCGACTTCTCTCGCGGACCCCTGTCTTCATCTTCTTCCTCTTTCTTCGTCTTCGATTTCGACCCCTTTTTGTGCTTCGTGTCAATTCGCACGTGTGTAGATAAATTTGGGGACGGTGAGAACCGACCTTCTCCCTCTTCGTCGTTCTCTCTCTACTACTCGCAATCGCCGATCGTCGTCGTCGCTTTCTCGCATACTGGTTGTGCTTTTTCAAAGCCCTCTAGCAATTCGGAGCTCCGATCGCTGCTGCGCTTCTTTGTACCTTCAGGTGGGTTGCTTTCATTTTCGGATTCGATTCGATTCGATTTAGTATCTTAGGGTTACTTACTGGATTGGGATTGTTGTGAAATTAGAAATTCAGCTTGTTTTATTTATTATTGAATTACTTAATTACCCCTTACGACTGCATAGGTTTTGGTTACGATCTTCTTAGCCCCAATTTTTCGCCTTTGTTGATTGACCCCAATTTTCCCCTTTGCTGATTGCTTGTTTTATCCTTTTCTCACAAGCTCAATATTTCACTGCTTATCATATCCCATTGTAAATATGCAAAATTTGCAATGTTTACGTGAAAATGGCATTTGATTCTGCTTAGTTCAATATCAATATCAATTTCGAAGCTATTGTTATTGGTATAATTTTGCTTCACATTTTTCATGTATTGTTTTCCATTGTATTCGCACCTGCCCAATTCTACATTTTTACTTGGCTTTCTGCTACTAATTATCTTGCAATTTTGAATGGTTGTTTATTATTATTATTTTTAAAGAGAAAATGGTTGTTTATTGATACAACAATTTTCTCATCATGTCGTGATAATTCAGTTTTTTCTTCCCAAGTACTAGTTTTATTTGTTTGTGCTATTTCTCCTACTAAATGAGACTCATGATTTATGTTCTTTAGTTGACTGAATATATATGATTCCTTTGTTTCATCACTGTATGTACAGTGTGGAGGGAGTTTATCATGGCTAAAGCATGAGTAGGCAGTGCAGTTCAAAAGTTTTGGTTTTTAAGTTATGCGTTACTTGGTAGTTAGAGTCAGCTTGGTGAAGGATAAAGGAGATGAATGTGCAGACACACATGTCAGGACAGATATCTGGGCAGGTGCCCAATCAGGCAGGCACTCAGATGCCTGTGCTGCCCCAACATAATGGAAATTCCCTTCCTCCCCAAATGCAAAACTTAGGTGGGCCTGCTCGTGCTTTGTCTAACATGGATCCTGAGATTCTCACATTACGTTCAATTATGCAAGAAAAGATGTAAGATGCATTTCCTTTGGTGTTATATCCTTATTTATAAGGATATTGAATTGCTTGTTATCATGTCGACTTCTTTATTCTTTGCTCATTTTCTTTGAAGTGTGCTATTCCTT